CTTCCTGCTAAACCAAGTCTCAGTACAGGCACCCACCCACCCACCTTCACGAAACTAGCCTTTTACCATACTTACATCTAGAAATTTTCTTGTTTTCTCAAGTTGCTTCTCCAAAGCCTGGTTTTGCTGCCTTAAATCCATTAGTTCTGCATTTTTTTCTTGCTCTAGCTCTATGAAACGATTGACCTGTTCTTCCAAGTCTATTTCCAAGACTTTCACTTGCTTCTGGAGGTCATCATATTCTTTTTCAGCTTGACGCTGTACCTCAATTTTTTCTTTCATTAGCTTTTCTGTTTCCTCCAGCAATTCTGGTTGTAATAAAAGCACCACACTACTTTTAGATATGAATAGTTAGTAATGTTGTGAAGCAAAACCACTCCCCAAGGTATCCATGCTGTACCCTGCAGAAGGATGTGAACTGGTTTGGGTTTTTACTATTTTTCTTCTTTAGAAAATATATTTTCTTCTGAGAAATAATCAAGTTCACCACTAAAGCAAATTCATATTAGAATTACTACCCTTTAGTTAGTCTTCAGAGGACTGTAGTGAAGTTGTGCCAGATCACTTCCCTGTTTAAGTTTCATATCAATTAAAAGATCTTTGTATAATTGAAAAGAAAATGCATGGGTTCCAACCACAGCTAGAGTCAGCATCCATGCTGACATGGTTAACAATGAAGTGCAGAAAACCCAACTGTCTTCTAATCCCCAGTGTCAGTAAAATCAATCCACTCCCTGTCTTCATCATTCAGTGCGATACATTAGATAATTTGAAGGAAATATTGAGACACTTAGTGAAGTTGCCAGGCAGACAGAGAGCAAAATTACTGACCTGTAACTGGAGTTTTGTAAAATCAGTGACTGCATGGATGGCCAATTTTGAGTCCTCATGAAAAGGCTTGCAAGTATATATAGTAAAGCCCCAAACCATTCTATTAAGACCCTTAAGCCACAGCCCATTGAAGTACATATTAACTAACCGTATGAATCCCTTGAGGTAAAATCCAAACTGTAAAGTGCAATTACATTTGGAGAATCTTTAAAACATGATTGATATTTAGACAGAACCAGTACAATTTACTTCCACTATAGAAGAAAGATCCTTTAGGCACCATCATCTTACATCATATTTAACCAATTCTCATTTCTAGGTAACCATTATATATCAATATAATACACTGTTTAGTTATCATAATGAACAACTCAACTGTATTTGGAAATAAAAAAGAAAAATAAAGTCTACAAAAACGTCTCTCCAATACCATCTAAGTATCTGTAATTCACAGGTGAATAAGATGATGGTTATTCGTGAATTTGCTTATTATGCTTAGAAATGATAAGAAATATTGTTAGTGAAATGTAAAACTGTGTATGAAATACAACATCAAAGCTGCAGGCCAGTAAGAATTACAAGTAATGTCAGTAAGCCAAAAGCCCAACAATCCTGATTAACAATGTCAGTACGTGTTACGTCTTCCACCCAATTACAGACTGGCCATGCAACAAACACACACACCTGCTTGGGAAGCTGCATCGACTGCAGCATCTACTAGGCCTAGGAGAATAGAGAGAGAGAAAACAAAAAAAAAAAGAAGCAAAGTAATTCACATGCCAGCTATAGTTTTCCTGTGGTGCAGTGACGTAAGAGAAAATGAAGCCAAAGATAGATGTGGCATTTAATGACAAAGTTGTTGAAATAATTTAGGAAATGTGGTAAGTTATTCTGGTATGCATGATATAAGTACTAACACATATTTATAGAATTATCCTTACAGTTGTTATACATGAAAATAACTTTAAAATATTTCGAAACCTGAAACACGTAACAAATAACTAAACCAGAGTCATAGACGAGGCTCATCTTTACTACAAAGTAGGAAGAAACGGAAGAAACAGGTTGCTCTTGAAATTTCATCGTTACACAAAGTGGATGCAGGAAAATGCAACTCCACACCAAGATGTGTAATTTATAAAACCAGCAACAGTATAAATTGCCATAAACTTTTAGATATTAAATAAGATGCTAATTTCATGCTGCTGTTTACAATGTAAGCACTGCAATCCTTTAAAGATCGATACTTCTTAAATACCACCGTTCTAATTTTCTTCCCCTCTCAAACATAAAATATTAAGTTATTAGTTTAAGGAAGAATTAAAAGACACATTAACTTTATGAAGGTAAATGGGTATTTTGAGTAAGTAGTTAGTTAGAGTACATAGACATGGATTTATCTGGTATTTTCACCATCAGCGCTGAAAGCTTTCGTTACTGGTAGATTAACAGGCTTTCCTTATCCTGCAACTTTTATGTCATTCTTCCCCAAAAGACGAATTGTTAGAAAAGTATCTTCTGTGTCTGAAAGAAGTACGACCATCATATGTACCTCACTCATGTTTTGGTAGGTATGCTTGCTAGTTCCTCTAAAAACTCTGGGAAGTATTTAGACCAGTATTTTTATATCCACAGGTGCTAACTTCAAGATATTCCATCTTCAGTGATAATATAAAGAAAAGCAGATTTTCAGAGGTATGAAGCTTTTTCCAGCTTAAAGAACAACTGAACAATTCTGAAAACTTTTTTTTTTTGTTGTTAAATATCAAGAAAAGTTATCATGCTAACATTAGGCATCAAGTATGAAAACACCACATTGTGCCCTATCACATTTTTACGAATGATTATAGGGGGAACCCTTAACCAAGACTGCTTATGATTTATACAAAAATCTCATAGAAAGATAGTAAGGAATACATACGCTGCTCTACTGGCCCCGCATCTGCTCTCATGGCGTCCTTCTGCCTGGAGAGTAACTCCTTTTCTTCCTGGATCTGCTGCTGTTCAGCCTCTAACTCCTGCAATTTGTTACCTGTACTCAGTAGTTCTTGCTCAAGATGGTCAATTACATCTATTTTTTCCTGGAGCTGTTTTTCCAGAAATGCTTTTTCATCTGCATAACCATCAATGAGGCCTGTAAAACATCAATTCAGGGGTAGATTTAATAGACAATAGAGAACAACTTGAATTTTTTGCATGGTGAAATCACTGTAGTACTGTCACATGGATGCACATGCATGTTAGATACTCAGCTTCTAGATACAACTTCTACTCCCATCCTTGATATTCTTCCACGATGAACAAATTATAGGAAGGATAGCATAAACCAAATATAGCTCCTAATTTTACCTCAGCGCAAGACGTCTGCAACAAACAGGAACTCCAAAGCCAAATTAAAATCTGTGTAGTAAACACAGAAGAAATAAGAAATTTCAAATAAATTCAGGTGCTATTTTAGGTGCCTCAAGACATTTGTCTGACCTCAAAACACAGTTTCTGTAAGATCACGGGTCTCCTGAAGGTCAGGTATCATACAGATGCCTCCAACATCATAAGGCACCAAAACTGGCTGTAGGCATCTGGGTTTAGCACCTGTATGACTCCCAAAAGCCCTGTAACAGCTGACATCTAAGAAGCAACTTGATTTATGTACTATTTATGTGCAATTTTTAAGTAGCACCGAACAATGAATGATCTTTTTAACAGCATGTTTGGGACACTACCTTGAGAATGTGCCTTGCATGCTTTTAAAAACTGCTTCATAGTTAAGTAGTTTATATAGGAATATGGGTAGGAGCTCTATTTTAAGCTTTATGAATGATACTGGGTGTATGAAATGGCACCGTCTTCGAATGATGCAGAAGTGAGCACAAGGCTAAAGACTTGGGAAGAAACAGTGAATTTCCTTGAAGGCTGTACAATCTAAACTGAGATTCTGTAACGGTACTGGCTTCCCAAGATTCACATCAGTTCTTTCAGTAACATCTAACCACAGAACACAGAAGACATTTTGCTGAGTGACAGAAGGTACTGAATAGGTATTCCAGATTCCTATGGTAAGGTGTGTTCTGTCATGTCTGATACCAATGGTTTCAGAAGACAGACAGGACATCAGTCATAGGATGTCTATACTTTCTCAGTTGGACACACACACCTGCCTCACAGGTGGTTTCTTACTAAAACCACAGAATCTAAGTAGTGTTTTTTAAATATCAAACTATTTTCAATATCAAAGTACTTTATCAGTATAAATCTATAGTCTTAAGCCAATATTAAAAGGAATTTTACCCTGACTTGAAAATACGGGAAAAGTAAAGATGCTACCATTTGCTGTCAATGTAGACAAAGTAAAACTTCTGTGAGCATTTAGTTCCATAACAGAGGAAAGCTATCAAGAAGGATATTAAGGAACAGTGGTCTTTGCATACAGTCTGAGAAACACAGGCCTGGTTCTCGTGCATATCAACCATGCACTGCTGACCAACCTGTTTTTCCAGATTAGGATTCACAGAGAACATAGCTGCATAGAGGGACTGGCTGTTGAAACAAAAACATATGGAACTAGAAACATCATTAACAGCATTTCAAAAATTTGTGATAATACATATTCTAGTAGTTATTCCCACTGTATAAGATGCTGTTCATGATGAGTACTTTTAACAGGTTGGAAGTTGAGAGGGCATTCCCAGGTTAAATGGAGCACACACACAAAAAAATGGTATGAACAACGAAGAAAAAGTCTAAGATCACATGTTGCAGTATTAACTCATGCCTTTTTTTTCTTTTTAAGAGATGTAATGAAAGTTGTCAGAGTTCAGTGAACAAATTGGCATTAGCTTTTCTATCATGTTAGATAAATCATATCTGACAACTAATGACAACTAAAACACTAGAGATTTGCAAATGTCTCAGCCGCACCAGTTTTTGTGGTAAGAGAGAAATGATCAAAAATGACACATTTTATCTCGAGAGAAGACAGAGCATCATCAGACATATAATGAACTAAGACACTGTTCTGCATACCTACCTATGGAATTTCATAAGAGAGAGAATGTAGTTTGGCTTTATCAAAGCAAGCTCACAACTCAGTTCAGTGAGCAGAAGAAATGAACTGAAGTGTTCTACGACATTTTTGTTTTATTATGTCAACACCAAAAAAAAATGCTTGTCATTTATAAGTGCATTCATTTCAGAAGTTCACAGGAAAAAAAAGGATTGATTTAATTCAATCCAGGAGTTACAAAGCATTAAAGCGGTAAGAGAGACAAATTAGCTGAATTCCTGCTAAAGACTGAACAGAATTTAATGTCTACCTAATTAAATCTGTACCTAACTTAAAAGCTCAGCTGGGCAATATATCTATCAAGGGTTAAAACTAACATCAGATTCTGCCTGTTATATTCCAGAACTGTTCATGAACCAAATCAACAGAGGCAGTCTGTCAAGTCTTAGAAACTGACATTGCTATTGCTCTGATTAAAATTTAATTCCAGTCAAAAATTTTTGAAGAATGTTTCCACTTTATATGCTTCCATTTTTTTCCCCCCCTTCAAATAAAACATTATCAGATAAATTCCTGGGAGTGGAAAACATTGCTTTATAGCATGCACAAAATTTTTGTGTGTAATTTATGTTTTTTGCCACCGAGAAACACATACTTGACTCATCTGTTAGATCTCCAAACCAGGCCCTGATACAGTATTTCAAGCATTTAATAAAATTTTACAGGTAAATTTTGCCTTCATTTACATATGGGCAATATCATGATCTGGCATCTAGCAAGAGTTTGCAGTTTCTTTGCTGCTATTAGTTTGTTTGCACAAGCAAATTTTATAACAGAATTGCATTGGTCAAGAGAAGAAACCAGTTAATTTTAGATTTTTTGCTTGCCTGGTGGTAATAAGTAAAAAATAATAATAAAAGTATGAAAATAAAAAATGGATAGCAAGATGATCTTGTTCTGTGGGATATCATCTTCAAGTACAACTATGCATGCACTTGTAAAAGAACTCTGCACAAATGGAAATGTATTTATTGTAAATGAAAAGGCAAGCTTGCAGTTCTTGGTGAAGAACCCGACTTAGCCAAAAAATACAGGCCCAGACGACGAATCAACAGAGATAAGATCATAATAAAAACTTTTCTTAAATAAATAAAATTAGTTTATAGTATTAACTTTTAAGTGCTACTTGTAGACAGCTCTGACATTATGACAGATTCCTACCTTTAACTAAAATTTAACACTAACCTCTCTGCTTGGTCCTAATCCATTAGTCTATTTTGCTTTATTATTGAAGATTCGTGAATAAAAAATTCTATCAAGACAAAAATATTATCCTACAAGGAAAGCCACAACAGACATAGAAGCTGTGTACATTCTGAAATTCATCAGTACTAAACAATTTTTTAACTCCATATGTGCAAGAAACAGGGTTAGGTCTTAGGTTAATAGGGTTAATTCTTAGGTCATGTATATTTTGTTAGAAGATTTCATCTCTTTTGCATGTTCCATGTGCGTTCCATACAAGGTTTTTTTCACTCTTAATATTTAAAAAAAGGAATAATGCTTCTTTTAATATCTATTCCCTCTGAAATCAATTTTCCTTCTTCCTAGTTTTGCTAAGGCTACTGAAATGCTGCAGGCAGTACTGGTGCTGATGACACATGACGTTTATACTGCATGAACTGACAGACTACCAACTGTCCCTTGCACCACATTTTAGACACATGACTTCAAAACTTGCACCACTTCTCAGGTTATGTGTGTCCCAGCTATTAATAGCATGTGAACTCACGTTGGATTATCTGTCTACGTAAAAAGAAGAGGAAGGCTGTCAGGGCAGCGTTCTCCAGGAATAACATCTGGCTATGAAACTCAGCCCATGCTTCCACTTTGAAAAGGAGAAGACTGGTAGGCTTCTGAACTAGCCAAAATATCTTTCTGCTCACTACTGCAAAGATCCTACCTATAAGTTGGGTGACTTTTGCATCTTTTCCAGATGCTAGCTACAAACAGATGTCAGATTTGAACACATTTTCCTGATGTCAAAAAAGACTATTAGATTTCCCTTGTTGTAGCACCCTACAATTTTTAATTGCTTCCTTAATACAGTTGCAAATACACTTGAAAAGATCCCTTCAAACACAGCGCAAACTGAAACATATCACACCCGTATCATCAAATTCAGAGTGAAGGTTCTATGTTTTTATCCATGTTTGTGTGAAACTAAGTCAAGGCCAAGAGGCAGCAGGCACAAACTGAAATACAGGAAACTGCATTTCAACATAAGAAAAAAAAAAATCTAGGTTTTTTGTTTGTTTGGTTTGTTCTCTGCCCTCTTTGACAGTGGTCAAATACTGGAACAGGCTGCCCAGAGAGGCTGTGGGCATTGAAAACTTGACTGGACAAAGTCCTGGGCAACCTGTTCTACCTGATCTTGTTTTGAGCAGGTGGTTTGAAGATGATACCCAGAGGTGCCTTCCAGCCTCTATTTATGATTCTAGGTTTCTAATATTTAAGCTTGTCTGTACAAGCAGACTTGTTATGATTAAATAAATTAATTTCTGAGGATAACAATATATATCAAATCTATTATTTTTTCAAGTCATACGTAAGAAATGAGACAAAGTTGGGAAACAGAGTTACAGAGTGGTTGACACTGGAAGGGACGTCTGGAGGTCATCTTGTCCATAACTATCCAGAAGGCTGATAACGTTTGCAAAGGAATTGATCTAAATTGCAATTTCTTTATCCAATTAATAGGCAAGTGAGTGCAAATTTCAACAACTCAAAGAAGATACCTTCAGCTTTACTAAGCTCCAGAGCCAACTGCTCTCTAGCTTTGGTTTCTTCATTAAGACGTTCTTGTAGTTCTTCCTGATACTTGATAAATTCTGTTGCCTCTTGTTGCTTTCGGAAGGACTCTCGCATGAGTTCTGTCTGAGTAATTTTAGCATGTTCAAGCTACCAAGGAAAAGATTACAGAAGTTAGATAAGCCAAAGGTTTTCTGAATAAATAATTAAGTAAGACTGAGGGAATAGTTAACAGTTGCTTTACAGCGTGACAAGAAGTCTCACATAACTTCACTAGACGTTTGATACTATCTTTACTGAACACACATTCGCAGATTACACTAGGAAGACTGACTCAGTACAGAAGTCTAAGCACACAGGCTTTGTCAGTACAGTGAACTCAGTGAGCCACCTGGCTAAATCCGTGTCTTTGTCCTGGTAATTCCTGGTTTATGAGTTTACATTAGATTCACCTTTATTTACATAAGAGTCTTGTACTAAATATGTGAGCTATTACCCACCATATTAATTAGAATGGCTAAAAAACATTAAACTGGCAGCAGCTTTGATACAAATTCACAGAATCAGTATTTAATCTGTTTTTCTCCTTAAGATTGAGATGAATGAGAACACCAGAAAAATGTGAACACACCGCGCACTTTTCACCCAACAAAGCAGTAAAGCAATGCTTCTTCCAACTGTGTCCACCTAACAGAATTAAGGGTTTTTTTTTCTTGTGTGATGGGTTAGTATTTTAGTGTGTATGACCACGAATGTAGCTCAATCTCACTATGTCAATAACCTAAACCAGTGGAAAACTGGAAGTGAAACGTATGAAGTTGAATACTTAATGGCCAGTTTAGACATACCGAAAGCAATAACTTCAAAAATAATTAAAATAAGAATTACAAAAGCAAAATATTAAAGAAGGAATATTGGAGCTTTGTTTACACAGAATGTTCATCTAAGGTAACATCAAATTGAAGTCAAATACCAAGAAGATGTCTACTTCTTAACTGTTACCATTTACAGTCTAAATCTGTAAATAATCACCTCTTTATCACCTCATAATCACCTCTTCAAGGGACACAAATACAAATTGTCAGAGCTGAGCCAGGCATGAGTTCTTAGTGTGGCATGTATTCAGAATAAGACTACTTATTTTGAATAAGAACAACTTCAGAAAATGAAATAACACCTATTTTCTGCTCCTCTCCCTGTTGGGTTTTTTTCCTCTTTAATGTTATGGATATTGGCAGATATTTGTAAGATAGTAAAATCTGTGGCTTTGCTACAGTTCCTATAAACATATTCTTTCTCTCAATTTCTTCAAAACCCAATGTTCTCAGCATCTCCAGCTCAGCTCACGAATTATTAGCTTCCTTTAAAATCTCAGAAAAAAGGGTTAGGAACATTTCATAGAACACTGCACACAAAATTCTCTCTTACAAATAAAAATTACCTCTTATAAATAAAATTTGAAAAAAAAGTCTGATTAATCAATATATTCTCTTTTATAATAAACCAAATTTAAAGATTCGTCTTCTACAGCATGCTTTTTTAGATGGACATCATTATGGTGAACTGTTCCCATAGGAATTCAAGAAAGGTATAAATACTGCAGATGAACATCTGCACTGGTTTGACGTTTTCTTAAATAAAAAAAAAATCACAGAGTATTCTTACTTTAGTCTTACATTTTTAAGTGCTTAATGAAAAATCTACATCACATAAAAGGGAAAAACGTTTACTGTACATAGACAACCGTAAAAATAGCTTACTCAACTACATCAAATATTCCAACTAAAACTCAGAATAAAAATAATTCTCCAGCTCTTGTCAGTAAAATTCATGGAATCACTGGAAGCCATTAGCAAGCTTGTTCTAGTTAATGTTACCAGTCAGTGCATGCAAGCTATACAGGAAAAATTTTAACTGACTGCAGTCCTCACCCCCAACCTAAATTATTCACAGTGAGAAAAATGTAATACAGTAAGTAACACTGAAGTGCTTTAAAGAGATCAAAAATCTTTGTAATTCAATATGTATCTCTGTCTGTTACATTTCTTTTGTTAGAAATAAACAGAGAATTGTATAATTAAAGCTTTATCAGTGCCCATTAAAATCTGTCTACGAAAAATGCCTGTACATAATAGTTCAACAACAGAAACAAGTTCATAGCATTTTTCACTGCATTTTTTTCTATTTAAGCTGGTTTAAAATCCAACTTCTTTAAAAAAAAAAAAAGAAATTTCATACTTACTGAATAGGGAGGTGTAGGCAAGGAGATTTTAGAGACAACTTTTAAAATGTGCCCATTTTGTTTGTGGCTGAAGTGAAAAATTGAAGTATTTACAACTACAGAATTATTCTCATCCAAGTGTTCAGTGAAAGGAAAAGGATAAGGTAAAGGCACACGAGATTCAACTTCATACGTATCTTCTTCTTGCCCTTCAGTCCACAAACCACTAAAACGATTAGATGCCCAGTAGGTGCGGTAAGAATCCATGCCAAAAAAATATCGCTGTTGCTGTCTTCTCCGCTGTCACAGAGGTATTTTTCACTAGCTAGGCTGGTTTTAGAAATTTCTAGCAGGCATTTGTAACAGAGCACGTACATTTAACAGTCTGAAGGCACATACCAGCACTGCTGATAACAAACCTACTCAGAATCACTGGGAAGCCTCAGATCACATTCTCAAGCAGAGTAATTCAGGTGTGGAATAATCCAAGAGAGAAGTGCAAGAAAACTTCATATAGTCACTCCTTAAAACCCTTCTTAGAGAAGTTTCACATGAAAAAGCAACAGAAATCTTCTAAGAGCAGCTGGCAGGTAATTTCCAAGGCAAGGAAGCATAATTTTATGTTACCTGCTCAGGTGCGCTGCAGCGGGCAAGCAAGCTAGCAGAACAGAAACGGAAACTGATTTTCCATCTCCACTACAGCAAATCAAAGAGAAATATGGATGTCATTCTTGTTGTTGGAGTTAAACAAACAGGAAGAACTTTCTCAAACTCTGCTAGGTTAAAGGCTTCCTGTTAGCATCTCCCAACCAACAGATTTCAGGGGGGAGTGGCCTGATTTATTTACCTATATATAATACCAGCAGGTGGAATTTGAATTAATACACCCATGGTACGCCCTGTCTGAAAGGATTCAAACTGCATGTCAGCTCTGAAAGTGTGTGTTCAGACAGGTCTCAAATAGTTACTTTGAAGCTTTTGCCAGGTTTCTCTCACTTTTAAGTTTATTCTAAGAAATGGGTACATGTCTGTATGCACAACACAACTGATTAAGAGGAAAGGTTAACAATTTTCTCTGCCTGTAATTAGTTTTAGATTTTTTTTTCCTACTCTGCAATATTTTATAAAAGTATTCAGTTTCTGAATATTTAAACATAATTGTCAAGTCACCTAAAATCCCTGGTACATAATCTAGTAAGCAAACAACTGACATTGCAAAGCAGACAAGCTTGAAAGCTTGCAAAGTACCTCTACGCAACAGTCAGAAGATATGTCAATATTTATACTTAAAAAGATGGGAAAATGTGTAAACAGATTAAATTTTTATTAAATTAAAAAAAAAAACCCAGATATGATCATCAGGGATAAATCCCTACTTGTGTAATTCATATTAAGGAAAAAAAAATGTGTGTAAGCCAATACATAACTCTCTTACTGGTGTTGCCAAGGTCTCAGCTACAAAGCTATAAAGTCAAAATAATGATCAAATGACAATAAATAAAAATAAGCTGTTTAAAATCTACTGATTACTTTCAATGGTATCATGAAAAGTAAATGCTTACTGTAAAAAATTCAGTCACAAAAATAAAATAATTTAGGGCTATGTATAAAGCTACTGCATTTAAAGATCAGCAGCAAAATGTTCAGAAAAAGGAAGCACCAAGTGGAATAAATGACTGACAACACTTTTATAATTGTCACATGAAGTTTTAATGACTATAAAACCTAAAGGTGTTTTTCCTTGTTTGTATCATCTGCTCTTCAAATGCAAGATTTCCTAAAAATGCCTAACTAAATTTTATTTTTCCTTTAAGAACTCAGTATATTGGAGTGTCTGTGTATCCTTTTTCATTATTATGTAATGCTAGGCCTCAAGCTGAATTCAGAGACCTCAAAAAGCCAAACAACAACAACAACAAAAAGCAATGCAGAAACTGAGTTACAAGATCCACCAGACTACTTGTTTTACTAAGACAGAGGGGGCAGTTTGCTGAATCTGTATTTAAATGACTTTAAACTTTGGTAAGTCACAAATTACTCTTATTTTTTTTCTAAGATGAGAAAATATTATCAGATCTATTTTTCAAAAACAACAAATACTTAAATGCCTCAAACTTCTAAAGTACTAAACAGCTGAATTTTCACATGACTTTCTTCATCACAGCTTTTTTCTCCTTCATTTCCAGTAGTTATGATTTACACATGGTACACACAGAGACGAGAAAGCAGTGACTAAGTAATATCATTAAGTAGGTTAACTAACAGATAGGTGTAGCATAAAAACATACTGTATCCTTTGAATTCTATTCTCAGACTAAAGAGCTGACTCAAAAGACTAGATAGCCTGACTCAAAAAAGTTGCAGAGAGATAGAGAGTATTTACTTAGATACTTCCAAATTGAGATGTGCATCATCTAAATGTATGGTACATGATTTAAGCAGTGTGTTTTGGCCTGACAGAACTAGGTATATAGCTCCCATTTGAATGAACATGGAAGTATTCCAGAGAACAACTAACATCCCACCATGCAAAGTACCCTGCCAGCAGACAGAAAGGAGTACCCATGCGCTGCCTCTTCCTTAGAGATTATTAATAAATCACATACCTCGCATACATACTGGAGAGCTGAGTGCAGACCCCTTTCCTGATAGTAAGGTGAATGTGTTTTTAACAGGCTATGTTTAAATCACGGTTGGAAGAGACACTAGGAGAGCTCCACCTTTCTGGCCAGTCAGTTGACTAAAATGTTCGTCATGAGATCTAGGCACAGTTCCCCTTAATCCTCCCTCTTCACAAAGGCCAGCTCAATGTGCCCTGACACCTCCTGTCTCATCTCTAGGATGTGGTAGAATGGCAGTGACCCACATGAGCAATGAAGAGTGCCCTAAATTGATAGGCATGCCCAAATTCTGCCTTCCTCTGCAATCCAAGGCAGATTTCTAACATGAATCTAAATTCATCAATGAAGTCATGCTTGGAGCAGGCTTTTTTTTTAGGCATAGGTGACTAAAGTATTGTCTCAGCTTCCAAAATGAGCCTAAAGGTTTTAGGCTTGTAAACACACATTCATGAGAAAAAATAATTAAAAAAAAAAAAATTTGTGACACAATATCCAAAATGCTTCACTATTAAATCACCCTACCTGATTTGACGTTTCATTGATGGCTTCCAGAAGCTTTTCAACAGCTGCTTGTAGGCGAGAACTAATATTCAGAATGAGTTCTTCATTTTCAGGATCTAATTCCACTCCACTTTCTGCAAGATGCTGGCTCAGTAGTCCTTCATCTGTTGCTCCTGACCATGTGTGAATATCGTCATCTCCCATACCACCACCGTGATATGAGGAACAGGATTCTGGAAAAACAATAGTTACCTTTTCACCCAGTCTCTTAGCACTTCGAAACTTGAAAAGCTGTACGTCTGAGTTACAATTAGAAAGAGAAGTCACAAAACAATTCAAATATTTGTATTTGTCACAAAGACAGGGAAATATTGCGTACTAAAACTTACACAAATGAGACATACAATGTGTTAACTAATAAAGAGAAAGGAGATACTAACAGAATATTTTAGACATTCTTTCAGTATGCTTTTGAGCTCTGAGCCTTATCTTCAAACCTTTGTTACTATCAGTAACCCTTACTACTTTGAATACTTGCAATAATGACTTGCAAGATTGTCCTTAAGACACAACCAGGTAAAAAAAACCAAAACTAAACCCAGACTGTCAGTCACTGTTTCATCAATGCCCAGCTGTGTCAGTGTGCATTAACACAAAACTGTTCAAGTTAGTGATTCAAAAGCACAGACTCAAGTGAGTAAAGGGAAAGACACGCACGTAATTCAGACAACTTCTTAGGACAAACAAACTAGAATACAGAACATCAAAATTCAGCATTATTATTAGTGAACTGAAAATTGATTAAAATTAACAAATTAGGTACGCTGCAGGGGGACTCTGTCCCTGCTGATGGGCCACCTGGCACTTCCCTACTTCTCAATCTTCCTGAGGTCTAATTCAGTTTAAGGGCATTCATTATCCATTCTGTCTGAAAAGCAGGAGACACAAAGTTTGCCTATGGTATTAAACTGATAGCAGTTCACCTAGAAAACAGTAATTTTGCCATATATAGAACTCAGGGCCATATTTAAGCAAGACAAGTGAAAGCAAACTCCTAAGATGTTTTAAAATCATACTTTTGGTATGAAATAACAATACAGTAGGACACCACGATGATAAGTAACTATTGTTTATACTGGGTTCTAAAAAAGAAGAGGTGCTGTCATTAGGCTGTTAGCTTTGACATGTCAGAAGTAAATGCTATTGTGGAAAGTTTCTGAAAATGACAGTTTATTTTAATAAAGTATATTTCTGAAATATATTTAAAATAAGCGCTGTGGGTTTTTGGTGTGTGTGTCCCCCTAATCAGGCGTTGGCTTTCTCAAAAAAACTTTATTTTTGGGAAACAGCAGAATGCCTAAATCAGTTAAGAACAGTCAATACCTATTTTAGCAATAAAGTTGCAATACTGGGCTATCTTTGAATTTAAGTTCCTGGTTAGTCCATTAATTGTGACTGCTGAACTGAAACAGTTTGTTTAGTTACAGAAATTGAAATGACATAATAATAGGTCAATTTTACAAACTGCCTTTAAAAATGCAGTTAGTACTGTTGTTGGATACCATTTCCTTATACTTGCTCTTGCCTCTTAACCAGGCATGCAAATAACATTGGAAATACAAGTCCTCTTTTTGGTGTTGTTTGAACATAGCAAGAAAGTCAGATTCTAGTTTTCAGGTTTAGGTTTTTTGGAACTAGCTGCAACATGATTAACCACCTTGTTTACTTACTATACGTTTATACCTGTAAACATTCTGACAGTGATTACTACACATTTATTACATTATAAATGCTGCTGTACGTGTGACATATACAACAAACTACAGCGATTTTATAATCTAGAAAGGTTTTGTTTACTTTTATCTTATAACTGATAGGATTTTTTTAAAATGCATATGTATTTACTATTTTTTTTCTTCTAGTTATATCATTACTGTTACATATCTCCTTTTTGATATGTGGGATATAATGTTACAAACTCTTTTCACACTCCAAAGGGAAAAAACAGAAGCACATTATGTGTGCATGAATGGAATGAATAACCAGATGAATAGAATATACATTCACATGGCACCTTTCATCTACACAGGATTTCAAAGCACTTCCAAGTACTGCACTTTGGAACTTGAGTTACACACTACTTCAGTGGAGTCACCCTAGCAGTGGCTGGCAGTCATTTTCTGCCAGTGCACTAAATATTTGCCATGCGTTTGTACAGTATAAAGGCTTTCCCATAACATCCTAATATTCCACTCCCCTGAAGTGTAAGGAAGGCTGCAAAATGAACAATTTCATATTTTTCATTCAATAGCTTTCCGATTTCTCACCAACCAATTTTGGGTTGGCTCTGGGTGTCTCAAAGTATTAATGGTGAAGCAGAAGCTTTAATATCCTCAGAGTAGAAAGGACCTTCATTTAAGATGAACATCTAGTAGCACACGTATTTCCAAATGCTGTGCCAAAGGATTGGTTAAAGACTGAGTTGAAGGAAAACATATTCCCTACTGAGCCACCAACACACTTACTGCAGCACCTGATGCTCTTTGAAGGCCAACCATCTTAAGTACTGACCAGGTAAGACCCTGCTTAGCTTCAGAGAACTCACAAAATAAAAGCTCACAGTACAGTAGCACAGCTATAAACAAGATAAAACAATGACATATTAGTTATTGCACATTCTAATTATTTCTTGATGGAGTACAAATTACCTATGCAATGTTCTTGTTTTCTTTCTCAGGCTTAACCTGTAATTTGTGTCCTATAACCCTTATATTTTAGTAAACTATTTGCTTGAGAGGTACAGCTGCTGAATTGTGCAATGATGAGTGTACGTCAAATACAAAAACAAGCATTATACAAAATAGCTGCAGAAATGTGCGGTCTGTCGCAAAATAACTCCTGGCTGTCTGAAACTTTTAGAGAAAAACTAAAACACCTCGATGCATACTCAGAATGTAATCTTTTAGAAGCCAGGTCCAGAATTACGTGTCTTCCATTAAGTGTACCACTAATATTATCACTTCTTCTTGCCAGTGACCAAACACTACAATTTGGCCTCCAAGAACTCATGACAAGATTTTAAACTCTCATTTTGCTTATGTCAGCTCTTTTGTAATTTGCTTCCATTTCTTTTGGATAAATACAAAACAAACCAGTGTTGAAGTACAATTTTGTTACATGAAAAATGTCAGAACAAACCATCATTTCTACTTGAAATATAACTACAAAAAATGAGGAAAGAAAAGAAAGATGTCACCTAAAGTATAATTTGGCACATGGAAACTTTACTACTCTCAAAAAGGGAAAACCAAAAAGTATCAAATGCACACAAACTCTGTAGTAATTCTGTTCATACTGTAGGGTTGGCAACTCAAACAGAAAAATCAATGGCAAAAATGTAGATGCCCACAATATAATTTCTACAAAGTGGCACTTAAAAATAGGAGTTCACATTAAATGTCTTCCTGACTGCAAAGTGAAAATCTCTGTATCTTAGTACAGCATCTTTCCAGAAGATATTCATCGGTGGAAGCAAGAAACAGAAATGTTGTCAAGTCTTATTAACCACCCCGGCAGCTGAATGTCTAACACCCATTTTACTAATTTTTATATTGCTGTTTAATCTCCCACCCTAACAGAACTGTCTCCTATTTTTTTTTAGGTCGACACAAAATAATGAATAGAATATAACTGGCCCAAGTAAAAATGTCTTCTCCTGGTGTAAACTCGCTCCTTGTACAAAAGAAAGAAAATAACAAAGGTTCCTATTGTTTCCTTGCCACAAAGTTCGCAGTTTAGCATGTCAGATGCCATGACCCACTAAATCTTAAGAAAAGTCTATAATTATACAGTGTTTAATCAGAAGTTTCAGATACAGAAGTTGTTTATGAGCTGCCAAATGACATTTATGAAGCAATACATATTTTGCGTCATGTAGAGCTAGTATCTCAGTTTACTCTTCAGATTCCACTGAGGAATTAGTTAGGGGTTACAAGCTGAAAATAAAAAAAAAAAAAAATCAGTTTTATGGCAGATCAGTCTATAAAGCTATTTACAACTTTGTTCCTGGTACATTGTTCAGAAACAAGGAGCTCAGAAAGCCTGCAAGAGGGTTTAATGTTCAAGGAATGCCATATCTGCACAGGCTTCTCCAGGTTCTACCTCCACCCGGGGTACAACAACTAAGGGAGGAGAACAGCAAAGCCTGCTGACTCGGTCATGTTGATTCCTGGCCCAAATCTCCAGATGTAATTAACTTACTGGATTACTTTGCACAAATGCTGTTCCCTTCCAATGATTTTTTTTACGATTGAAATTTGAACTTTACTCGCTCTGCTAGAAATAAAATCCCGTGTTAGTCAATAAGCTAGGCAAGGTCCTAGATAAACCTGTATATGTTCTATAAATCAAGTTGTGGTTGTAAGCATGTGACCTTAATGTTTCAGCTTTTTAAAATGCTGAAACTCAGCAAAACAGTAAGTTGAGGTTTGCTTGTCAAACACAGATTACATTTAGAAGGTCAGAAAGAATTCACTTTATTAAACACATATTTTCTATTTTATTATTAGGTTTTTATTGTTAAAAATTTATTCCTACAAATTTCTTAAGTAATTTAAAAGGAAGATCTGATTGGCTAGGTATTAGAAAATACAGTAACATACACAGCTTGAAATATAAAAGCAGTGTCTACCTATTTCTTACTTCCAACAAACAACGAGGAAAAGATTTTAAAAGCTTATGTCATCTCAGGCCATTCAGTGGAAATATAGGAAATGAATAACAAAAGTCCTGTTGCTGAAAACACTGATAGAATTGGTCATCTAATTCCATTTGAAGGAGGATCAAGTACATCAGCTAATGAAACAGTGTGACTGCTACTATGGCTGCCTGTCTCCAGTGACAAAACTATGTACACAGAAAGGATGCTGTTGGATCATTTTGAAAGGAAAAAAGGAGAACTGTGAATACAACCTCAGATACATTACAAACTATACATTTGTCCATTATAGCCACTGTAAGCTTGGGTCTTCTTTAATACTCACCCCTTCCTTTCGTAACTCCTCCTTTCATAATTATTTCTGAATGTACGGAAACGTGCAAAAAAGAATACGGGCTAAACAACTGGTATGCAAACAGCTCTGTACCAAGGGGGGCATTACAGTAACGGACAAATTGCTTTGTTACAGAAGAGCGAATCCTTACATGCCTCTTCAAAATACACTAATAGCAAACACAAGAGTTAAAAGTCAACCTTCACCACTAGCGAAACAGAACACATTTCTATTTAAGAGAGTACTCTTTCATCACAAGACTTCACAAGAAGTTAACAATACATTCCAATTACAAGGCCTACAGTGCATTTAGACAGCAGTATTATGAAAGCTAGGCATAAGTGTATATTATACTCATTCTAAAATACCAAATAAAACTACTCTTTTAACTGTTTTTCTACATATATGTAATGCAAGTAATCCATATTCAGAATTGTTAACTACAATAATTAATGACAAATCCAAGTATATATACTGTTGTGCAGGAGCAGGCAAAAAGTGAATGCATATACTGTGCATTGTACATGCCTGTGCAGAGCAAGCCCGTATGAGAACAGCGAAGGACAACCACCATGTATTAGCATTTTGTATACACAGTTATGCATTTATTGTCTGAGAAAAGGGAGCAGTGTTCTCAGTAAATGAGAATGAGTGAGAAAAGCAACAGTACATGTTCTGTGAATAAGTATGCTATAACTATGAACTAGGTTCCCTGAATGCACTAGGTAACACCATAGTACACAACTCACAGCCTGGGATCACTGACTTCATAACCAGAATACACCTTGTATTTCTTTTGGCAATGCATGTTGTGAAAACCCCAGTTCTTTTTTACACACTTCAAATTATACAATGAGAACCCAAAGAACATTGTATTCAGGTCGAGGGAGGTGATTCTCCCCCTCTACTCTGCTCTCGTAAGACCCTCTACCTGGAGTACTGCGTCCAGCAGTGGAGCCCTCAACATCAGAAGGATATAGACCGGTTGGAGCGAGTCCAGAGGAGGCCACGAAGATGCTCAGAGGGCTGGAGCACCTCTGCTATGGGGACAGGCTGAGAGAGGTGGGCTTGTTCAGCCTGGAGAAGAGAAGGCTCTGGGGAGACCTTATTGCAGCCTTCCAGTACCTGAAGGGGCTACACGGAAGCTGAGGGAGGACTTTGTAAAGGGCCTGTAGTGACAGGACAAGGGGTAATGGGTTTAAATTGAAAGTGGGGAGGTTTAGATTAGATATCAGGAAGAAGTTCTTCCTGGAGAGGGTGCTGAGTCACGGGAGCAGGTTGCCCAGAGATGTTGTGGATGCCCCATCCCGGGAAGTGTTCAAGGCCAGGCTGGACGAGGCTTTGAGCAACCTGGTCTAGTGGAAGGGGTCCCTGCCCATGGCAGGGGAGTTGGAACGAGATGATTTTTAAGGTCCTTTCCAACTCAAACCATTCTATGATTCTATGCGTATTTATAAATTGCTGGTTTTAACACAGAAAATTTATTTAAAATGCAGTTTACACAAAACTTAAGACAACCTCAGAATACAAAAGGTAGTGGTGATAAACTCTGACCCTGGTCATTGCTCCTTTTATGATCTTTCTAGGAGACTGTATGGAAAATAGTCATCAGTGGTTGAAAATACTTACACTGAACTGCTTTAACATAAGCAAACTCTAATTTCCCACCCCAAAGCAAAGGGTAAGAATACTCCATTTTGAAAGAACTGATGACTTATAGTAATAGATGTTCTGATTCTTTGAGGTCTCCTGGACAATGATAAAAAAATTGAGGCAAGAAGCTTAGTTAGCTAATCTAAAATATGGGGGGAAAAGGCAAAGTCTCAAAAGTCTGAGTTTTCAAAAAATAATTTTCCTCACAATTCATACAGTGAAACGTGCAGAAAGCAAAAGTTATGAGTTTCTCTAATGAAACATCAGTACTATAAAAGCTTAAAAGTGCTTTCAACTTGAAAAATTCAAGAATCCTTAGACCAGAGCTGTACACACTTCACCACAGATAACTCAGTTGATTACTCAAAAGATTAAGAAGTCACTGTGTTACAAGTCACACACCCTTTCATAACTTGTCCCAAGGCTTAATGTGACCTGTATTTAAAGCCAGAGAGAATCAATAATATTTAATAATCTACGTTCTGAATGCAAGATGTGAAGTTGATCTTCATTTACCATTTGCCTTATTACTCTGTAGTAGATTCTTTCTAAACAATGAAACGTAGCATGTGACTTCCAGTTCTTTTCATCATTCACAGTAGTCAAATTTCCACCCAAAACCAGAGGTATAATGTGTTTTAGGCTGAATCAATCTGTTGCACATTGCCTTCCCAGAAGACAAAAGATGAATTCACACATCCTTATGCTGGCTTCTGTACCATGGGTACTTAAATGACAACCTGACAGAGCGGCTACTCTTGACCAAAAGAGAAATGAATGGCCACTACCCTAGTAAAATTACAGGAGATTAAACAGAGCCTGGGAGAGCTCTTAAGACACAGGCAAGCAATTAACTACAACATTAAAATCCTCCTTTAGGCTTGTCCCAACTAGTACTACTCCAAACAGCTGATGGGCAAGGCTTGGCATTTAGAAAGTTCCTGGAACGGTTTCTAACAGGCTGTTTGCGTGCAACCACCCTCTTTAGGAGGCTAAAGGAAGTCCACAAGCATATATACAGGCTCTCCCATGCCAGCTGGCCAGTGACCAGCAACATCCCTGCGTACATCAAGTACGCTCGCAGGGACATAGCATTTGACACCACTTCCCGTTCCTCATACGTACAGAAAAAGGTGTCAAGTTGGTGCAAGATACCGTAGAGCTGTGTTTTGTTCTCTTTGCCTCCTTCAACAGGAACATATTTATTTTTGTATTTCTCAATCACTTTCCCATTCTGTTGCAAGTTTTACAACAGGACCCTAGATACAAGTCGTAACTCACTTGAGGTATGACCCAGACAACTCCTGAAATGTCTCTTAAGAAGAGATGTCATATGACATATGAATTCAAATGACAAATAGTTTTAAAAAAAAAAGTTCATTTTTAATTAAAAATTTCAATACTAAAGTATGCAAATGCTACCTGCTATGAAATAGAAAACCAAGAAAGCAGTACCTTTTTCATATCCCACACGGATGCAGGGATTTACTGAGTCCTCTGTCTCTGTGTCCCATCCAGCTGCTTTGGAAGGCTGAACTTTCCCAGACCGATCCAGTAACCCGAGAACATGGCGACCAATTGTCTCCTCCATGGCCACAGTTGTCTTCACAATTTCTAAAAGAATCTTCATGAGTTTTTCATTAGCCTTCTGAAAAACATCCCTGCAGGACAGAAGCTAATCAGTCCTTTGATTTCGTGCTGCTTTCAGAGTGGTTTTTATCCCTTATACACCAAGAAAGGTTTGCAGTTGAAAAGTAAAATCAAGAATTTTTTTACCATTAAAACCCACATCATATACATAAATATTAAGAGCACATTTGTATTAAGTTTGTTCTTCCTAGAAAATATGTAAGAAGTCAAATTATTTATCAATATTTATACATTTATCGTAGTATTTTATCAGTTACCCTTTTAAAAAAGGAATTCTACATTTGTCTGCTATTCATTATAAACTTATTCTTTTCTCAGTGACAATTAAAAGGATTGCTTACCTACAGAGATCAATACAACAATTACATTCATATAATTTATAAAAAAATATATAAACATTTCACATGTACATAGAAAGGGCATACAAATACATGTGTGTACAAACGATGCATATAATTCTATATGTGTGTAATAAGAAAGATGTAGTAAAATAGATTAAGATTTGTCTCATCCTCTATGCCATTATATCATTAGGCTTTACAAAAAATAAGACATTGTTAATCTAAAGTATGTAAACTTAGAAATATGGTTATCTAGAATAAAAATGTCATTATCAATCAGAAAAAAGATTACAAGTATTATTAATTTAACAAGAACATTATTCGACACTTTTTAAAATTATGGGGTTTTTTAACAGTTTTAAGTACCTTTCTTTAGAAAGAAGAGCTGAAGACGTTTCATCAGGCTTTCTTCCTCCATCTTCATCCTCAAAGTTCTGCTCTCTCACATCGCTTTGGTTTTCATTTTCATTCTGAGTAAGTTTTCGCAGAGGGAGAGAAGACAAAAAGGACAGAAATCCTGTCATGCTAGAATCAACATATTCTTCTTACACATAGTAGAACATGAAATTTAAAACTTAAATTAGTTGCATTTTGTTAATACCACTTCTGCACCAAATTACAAATCACAAAATACTCATACTATGTGGAAAACTTAACTAAAACATAAACAAACACAAAACAGGAAATCCAAGGCAGGGCCTATTAGAAGGAACCTTGTTATGCTGATTAAACAGTCTTTGTACTTTCTGTTGGGTGTTGCTATAGCAATATGAAAATGTGAGTTTACCTGAGCAAATAGCTATACTAATAATCTCCACCTTCAAGCTGTTAAACTAGCTTCTGCTTACCTGAAGTAAAAACCTGTGTCTACCAGTACCACCACCTGATTCTTAAACCTACTCTGTTCAAGCAATAAACAACATCTTTTAGAATACATAGAAGGAATAGCAGTGAAAAAGAATCTTACTGGTTTTACATGCCACGGCTGCCAACAAAGTCAAAGTCCATATTTACCTCCGTTTGTGTGCTGTTGTTTTGTAGCACAAACACCAGCCTTTCTTTTCTGGGTACAGAATGTTGCTTTAATGATTCCAGTTCTTCTAAAAGCATTCTCTCTCTCTCTGCAACCAGGCTGTCATTCTCCATTGAGACACGCTAAGAAAGAAGTGTTATAGAGACACACACATTTTTTTAGGCTTCTGAGTGTTAGTGAGTCCTGTCACTTCTTATTTTTTACATATTTTGCACAATCATATTTCAGTCCACTTCTTTAATGGTACAAAGACCTTGAAAGCTTTCTAGAACGGAATATAGCTAGTAAATACTTTTGGTCTCTTAGACCTTCTTTAAGTTTTTCATACAATTTGTGTGATATTTATGAAACCCAGTGGTCACAATGCAAACTGAAAGGTTGATTTCTAAATATTACATGCTACAGTAACAAGTTTTGCACAAGAAAAAGAGATAAAAGTTCTTTTTATAAAAAATATACACACTCTCTTTTAGAAGAAATAGTAATGTTCATGGCCTAAATGCAATGCATACATTCCTGCGTGGTTCTTATGGATAAATTATCCCTGGCGTTAAAAACTGAAGAAGAGCCAGCAGCATAAGTTCTACTTAATGTGTTCCATCAGTTTCAGGAATTTGCAACCAGTGATGAAAGATGCAGTTGCAAATTGACAAAGAGGTAAAAGGAGGAAGGATATATATACTGAAAGGAAAGATTATGAGGATAAGTGATAGAAAGACACCTACAAAGCAGCTAGGAGAAACAGACACCCAGGATACAAGTGACTGGCTCTCTAGATTCCCCAGCTTGAGCCCCAACTTAAAAAGAACAGTACCAGGTTTGGAGAAAGTTTGAAGAAACCTAAAGCTCCACTCCACAGTGAAATCAAAGAATCTTAAGAGTGAAATGATTACTATTTTCCGTGATGTTACACTGTTGAAATTAAATCAAAGCAAGTAAAATTCTTTGAGATACTGTTTTCTCTGTCTTTCAAGGGAAGGAATCCTTGAAGACAAGTCCAGACATTATTTTTGAAGATGTAATTATTAAGATAAATTAAGATAGAGTCATTATCGAAATGTGTTTCAATAGAATACCTACTATAGGCTTGAATAGATGCAGAGTGACTGCAAGTTAAGTTTAAAAGGCAAAGAAACAGTGGTGTTTCCCACTAAACCCCACAGATTTTGTTTTATTCCAACAGTCAGTAAGGACTTAATTTCCCATGATTAAGAAAAAAGAAAAAAGGCAAAACACAATGCTGCAGTAAGCCATCAATACTGTTCAAGTTCAGACTTCCGGTGGGAATGAGGAAAAATTAAGAATTCTATAGCATTTCTAGCCATAGTTAGTGGCTTCATCGATGTAAATAGATACTAGCCTGTTTCCTGCACAGGGCCATGTGCCTGGAAGGTGGCATGGTCAGCAGTGCCTCTGTACTCACTCACTCGCTCTTCTGGCTGCCGTGCAGCACTGCAGGCTTTCTCCAGGTTTACAGAACTCTAAACTGATCCATCACTGACTGAGTTTTGATTGAAGAAATATGCCTTTTATACATACACGTGTTTGTATAGATATGTGTATCTGCATGCATATAGTAAATACATGCATGTCAATCAATATGTATAGAGATACAAGTACAGACAAATATAAATCTGCCTGGCGATGTCCCTTTGTTAACCCATGTTAACTCATCGAGTCAAACCCTGTATTACCTCAGCTAATTGCACTTTTAGACTCTCAAGCTCTGCCAGGAGTTGCTCTTGATTTTCTTTTTGACGTTCCATTTGCTGCATGTGCCCTTGTCGCAGTAATTCTGTTGCCTGCTGATGCTCCTGATACTGCCGTACTAGCTCCTGTCGCATGTCTTCCAAACGTTCCTCATATAACATCAGCTGACTTGATGTTTCTCTGTCCGACACAGTCATCTCACTGTAGCACTGAAATATTGGAACTATTTCAGCATTTACAGTTTCTGGTAAATATTTAAATAAATTTTACAAAATTCTTTCACAAATTAAAGTAGCTATCACAAAAATATGATCGTTTCCTGCTTCTTGAAAGGTCCAGGCTTAGAATTATTCTCTATTTAAAAGACAAATTTGATCCATGAAATGGAATAATCTATTTTCATGTAACCAATGTCACATGCCTTTCCTCACAGCATAGCATAATTCTATGACAATCACGAAGAATGCAGGAATTAAGGGTAGATCATTTAGGTCTAAAGTTGCCACCCCTTTGAAAGGGAAATATTTAAATTGAAGTTTAAATGAATTTTTGTATTTTCAGTTCTCATTGAGATGAAATGTAAACCCATTATAGAAAGATTATTCAGATATGGTGTTACACATTGCCAATTCTGTATACGCTTACCGGTGTTTCTTCTGCCGTAAGCTCCTTGACATGGGAAAAAAGGTCTTCAGAAATCACTGATTCATGTGTGGTCTGTCCTAATATGCAACTGGGCTTGCTATTCAAATGAAGCTGTTCTCCAAGTGAGTTGATCTCACCAGACTCTTCAGTGAGTTCCTTGCAGAGTGATTTCAGTTCTTCTTCATGCTTACTGCCTTTTTCTGTAGCTTTTCTAAGAGGGCCATCAACCTCTCCTTCACTACACTGCTTTTTAATTTCAAAATGCACTCCTTGGTGTACAATCTGTGTTTGTGCTGCTTCTTCCTTCTGCCTAGCAATTCTTGACAATTCAGTCTGTCTGGCAAATGCTACACTCATTGACACGATTACCTGAAAAAATAAGAAAGAAATCTGTATTACTTTATACTTCACAGTATCTATTGCTGAAGAAATCTCATTGTTGACCATCAATAATATAAATAAAAATACTGAAAGTTCTGAACTATGATTCAATTTTTTTTTTAAACAGAAAAAACAGAAAGATAGAAGAGCATAGACATCTTGTCAATCCCAACAGCAGTCTCATCTTAAAAATACAGACATGCTGTATTTAAGGTAGTTTAAAAAAGACAACATAATTCTCTGCTAAATAATATAGTTTAACTGAAAATAACATCATAGTTTATTAAAGAAGATTCTATAAGGTGACTTTAAAAAGTCCCCGCATATAAAACAAAAAACTATACATTTTACATAATATATTAAAATGCACAATAAAATATGATCAGAAAATAGTGCGAAACTGTCAAGTGCAAAACCTTCTGAACTGACCAGCTGTTAAGCCTAAAGTACCAAAAAAATCCACTCTCTAAGCCTCTGGATTTTCTAAATAAGTTCTAGCGTCAAGTATAGTTGCATTTTGTCGATTTTCTTTGAAGTGTTAAAGCAAAACATCACACCCACCCCTCACATGAACAGAAATTATGAATTAGGAATAGGAGAGGCAACTAAAAAACCCAAAATGTTTCAGAAATTTTTTTAAAGACTTTCCCTTTTCAGAATCAGAATGAAGCAATTCCTTGTAAATAAATCAAAGTTAACATACTCTATTGCAACTGTCTGAACTGTCAGAAATGGCAAATGTAAGAGACAGTACTTTTAAAACCTTTTAAAGTGACAAAATAATACCTTTGCGATTTCTTCTTCTAACCTTTCTTGGTACTGTTTTTCTAGCAACTGAACAACATCCACATCATTCTGCATTTCAATTTCATTAGCAAGCTGTAAGAAAACCATGAGATCTCAGATAGTGTATTTGTACTTTCATTTCATTAATTTTAGAAGCTTCAATCTGACAAAGACTCTTTTCTCCTCAATTAGGTTATCTTCATTCCATGCAAATCACATAATTTTGTACCACAACATAAAAGAACTGGGTAAAAGACTTTTCCTACTTCACACTTCAGAAGTAATTTTAAAAGGTTGAACTTGCAAAAACTGTTATTCCAGAACTATTTGAATTGTCAAACGCAGAGAAAACAGGTGAGAAAGCACAGGATCACAGTACAAAACAGCATCACCTTTTTAAAAAATGCAGAATTGTTGAGCCAGGTTTCCAGCAGTTCTAGGGGAGGAATGTAAGACTGTTCCATTTGCATTTGGTTTCTAAAATTGTTTCTAATTTGTTTCTAAAATATCTTCTAAAAACTGTGCAGTTTCTACTTAAAAAGCACTAGGAATTCACTTAAATCAGCCTTTTTCCAGAACTAGTATTTAAAGAAAAGTCACAATATATTAAAGACTCATGAAGAAACCCCAGAATTTGAAAGTTTGAACACTTTTTTTTTTCCACTTTAGTAAGAAGTGACTTTAACTAAATGTCTTGTTTCAAAGCAATTAAAAAAAAAGTAAAAATTCAGGGACCAATAAATGCAAGCTTTATGGTTCATAAATTCCAGAAAATGCTTTCCAGCAAAATTGAAATCTTTCTCCTCTAACGTGGACCATCGAACAGTACAGCATAGTACTAACGTGAGAATTGCTTTCCTACTACCAAATACTAGTCTGTATTTCAATTTCGTCTTAGAATTCAAAGCATTTGAGTTATACTGACTATATGTATATTGGCTGCCAACTGAGTCCCACGATACCTGCAGTGCTTCATCTGTTCTTTGTGGATGAAGATTTTCAGTGCACTTCACTTCCCTGAATACATCTTTTAGCTTTAATTGTGAATCTGTAGATACACTAGAAAGGTAAAAAAGAATCATTATTTCAATATATGTTATTTTTCCTCTATTCAAATCCACATTCTGTGAATATACATATCTATCACATACATTTGAAGACCAATACCTGCAAATATTTTCTTCAGGATACACCTTTTCCCATGCCATTAATTTAATATACTTGACTTTATAGTTCACCTGCCTTCCAAACGCCAGCTCTTCCTCTCTGTATAACACAACTTAGTACCAGTTTTGCTAAGGACCTCACAAACAACTTACTTCTAAAGCTACCTGAGAATATTTTGTGCTCAACAACTATACATAGTTAAGATGAAGTCAACAGCATCTGTTTGAATCATAAATGTATGAGAGAAACCAGAATGGCTACGAGTATGAAGCAATAAAAACATCTAGAAAATGGTTATATTTATTTAGATTCTCTTAAATTGATGCTTACCAACAGATGCACAACTTTTTCTTGTGTTATATAGATAAGGCATACACATGAAAACAGTAAGAAATCCAGTATGATTAATTCTGTATTTAGTTAACAACATGCTGAAATATATTCAGAGACTGTCTTTTCCAACAGAACTGCTGTCTGTATTTATAGTGCTATAAATCAGTAAATAACTAAAACACCAGCACGTATCACCGAAACTGGCTCCCTTTCACTACATATTGAAAAAGACTTAATAGAAATACACTGCCACAAGGATAAGATACAGTACAAAACTCTCCTCCAGTATTTGTGATCTGCTGCCACAACGTCACAAATCCCTTGCTAAAAGACGGGACAAAATAGATTAAGTCAGAAGGTAAGTTTAGTGTCTGTGAGACCTACAATCTTAGCTACGCTAAGATTCTGAAGAGACCTTGAATACTTTCTTTTGCTCAAATCTGAGAGCTGGTTTAGATAAACCTGAAACAGAGTCCAGAATGGTGATTTTATTAAACATGTGACATTTTTAACTACAAAAATAACCCATTATTTTTAGCATTTTTTTTTCTTTTCTGATGTTACAATAGGATATACAACCAGATGAAAATGTTCCAAAGAAAACCTAGGCTTGGCCACTGCTACAGTCCTACGTAGACCTTGGCTTAAAAGATGCAGCAACAAAGCAGGTATGGAGACAAGTATGTAACAGATCATTCAATGGGTTACTGACTACGCCATTAAAAGACACCTATCTTCAGGCCTGAAATGTAGCGAGACAGACCTCCATACTACGTTAGTAGAAACCAATTTATGTACTGATCTAGGAACTTTTCCTGTAAACATCTAAATTCATGTTAATGCTTAAAACTGGAACTTCAGGTATGAAAGCTAAGAGAAATGGGAAATTCATAGAAAATCTTTTCTCTACTCTTATCTTATAAATAATGATCATTGCTCTAAATGCTCATTAAACATATGTAAAATGGGTTTTGAGTATTTTAGGTGAATAGTTATCATGGACTAAATCAGAACACTAACTACCCATTTAAAAATAATTAGAAATCGTATTTGAATATTTATAATTTGTCCTGGCCAACGCACATACAGAAGCATATAGTTTCACAAAATGCAATTTGAAAATGATCATAGCTTGATTTCTTTTTTAAAGGATTAAAAAGTAATTGATTAAGAAGCCATACAGTCCCTTAAAACTGAACACATGCTATTAAATATGTACTTATTCTACAAAGCAGATAGTGGGAAACAATGATATAATGCGTCAGTCTTACAGATGCATAAACATTTGCAGAACTTGGACCTCTCATTTACCTCAAAACAAGTATATATAAGTGATAATTCATATGAGGAAAAAGATTGGTTATTTTACTTTCCACTTCAAGACTAAAAACATATTTTAAGAAATAAAAAGAAATCTGTCTAAAAGTTAGAAAACCAGAGATGACTGAGAAAAGGCCATCAAACAATAAGGGAAAAACAGCTGTTTGGGTTCTGATGGGTCATGGTTGAAGGAAAATACTTTTATGTTACTTTCTCTCAGCTTCTAAGGATTTATCTTGCCACAGTCCTTTTTCTTTTTGAGAGAGTACTGTGGTAAGTATATCAAATATTTAACAATTTCTAGAAACATATAGACAATTCTGCCCCCCCTCCCCCCTTAATAGCATTTCCTATTGCCACTGTGTCTATCCATTTGCCTTTTACAGTTGGACATTGGTCTGACCAACAAACCCTCATAGTTGCCTCTCACAGAAGGGAGATTTGGATGAAAGAAAAATGCAGAGAAAGTGAGTGGATTTGTACATAAGTAAATGAAACAAAAGGAAGGAATACAAGGGTCAGAAGTGGAAGAACAGGAAACCAGAGGTGACACTGAACAGACACTGTGGGTCAAATACACCCACAACTCCTTGAACACATCCAAGGAGACAGTGAAAGATTCAGGGAATAGTAAGAGGCTTCACAGTTGTCAGGACACTTGCCCTTCTTTCAAGTTTGAATGGCCACAATGGACAGGGCCAGGAGTCGTCTGATGAGTATGTCCCATGGCCAACAACTTGCTGAAAGCCAGAACTTGTTAAGTGGCCTCAACTCTGCCACAAACTTTGATGACTTTCTAGAACGATGCATAATTCCATGCAACTATGCATGCATGCAACAAGGTGTCTTTAGATGCAAAGCACATTGCCTGGAGTTTCAGATGTTAAAAATGGTTTGTTGAGTTGGAAGTTTTGAAATTACTGCTAAAAAGTTCATACGTACGAAATGGTATTTATGCACTAATTCAATTATCAGATCTTCCCCTGTTAACTACAAAAATGTAATAAATTCTAAATGCTGAACCACTTAGTTTGCAATGTTTATATCATTACTTCATAACACTTAACTCTTGAAGGAACAAAATGTAAGAGTAATGTGTTTATATATAGTTTATCAAATTTTGAAGTAAAATATGTAGCTTTACCTGAACGGTTATTTTTTGTATGCAGTGCAAAGTTATAAGCATTAAATAGCTGATCAATACCTTGCGTGGTCAGAGGATACCCCACCACTCTGAAGCTTATCCTGCATATGGACAATCTCTGCAGTGTCCCACTCTTCACTTTCTTTCAGCTGCGGTTGGAAACAGGACCGAAGGTGTTCCAGCTCTTGAGCATGCTGTTCTTCAAGTTGTGGTTTAAGGTTTCCTATCTCCTTCGAACAGTATTCTTGAATCTTAGGATCTACGTTTAGGTTATTGGAGGAGGAAAAGGGGTGAGAAATAAATGACATTAGTATAAATTAACTTCCTCCCAAGTTATTAGCAGTGATGGACTAAATCATTAGTGTAGTTAAAAATTTCTAATACAATACAAACTACATTTCAGTAGTCAATAATTAAAATCTAATCTTCCATTTTGCAAAACTGTATTTGATGTAGGTAATGCAACTTTAACTGTGGAAAACTGAAAAAGACTAAACCAAAACTGTTTCACAGAAGACAATTCCAAAATATTTTAGAATCATAGAATCATAGAATCACTAGGTTGGAAAAGACCTTAGAGATCATCCAGTCCAACCGTATCTGTCCACCACTAAACCATATCTCTCAGCACCTCATCCACCCGTCTCTTAAACACATCCAGGGATGGTGACTCCACCACCTCCCTGGGCAGCCTGTTCCACTGTGTGATAACCCTTTTGGTGAAGAACTTCTTCCTTACGTCCAATCTAAGCCTCCCCTGGCGCAGCTTGAGACCATTCCCCCCCGTCCGATCATCTGTCATTAGGGAGAAGAGACCAACACCCGCTTCTCCACAACCTCCTTTCAGGTAGTTGTAGGCAGTGATCAGGTCTCCTCTCAGCCTCCTCTTCTCAAGGCTAAACAAGCCCAGTTCCCTCAGTCGCTCCTCATAAGACATATTCTCCAGACCCTTCACCAGTTTTGTGGCCCTTCTCTGGACACGCTCAAGGACCTCAATGTCTTTCTTGTAGTGAGGGGTCCAAAACTGGTGAGATTTAAGAAAGAGTATCTTACCGCAAAATCTGCAAAAAAACTCTTCTGTGTGTCAAGTTGTAGTAAGTTATAAATCAGTTAAAATTTAAAGTCACTGTCTTCTCTCTCTGAATTTACATACATTAAAAACAGCACATGCATCTTTTTACCCATCAGACCCTGTGAAGGGGTCTGCAGACATTCCTTTCTTGTTTCCAGATGGCTAGGTTCCTCCTCTTTCCTCTTTTCTGAGGACAACAGCCATGGTTCTCTGACCTAAAAAATAATGAAGTAAATACAAACGAGAACAATTTGTCTAGCAATAACGCGAAAAACATCAATGGTAATTATAAACATGTAAGTAAGGTTGGTGGCCAATGCATAACACAGAGTAACCAGTGTAACATTTTACAGTCTGAATGACCAAATATACCATCTTGGTCAATACCAGAGCCAATACTGTTTAACCTTTTCATTCATGTCCTGGATGACGGGACAAAAGTGCACCATCAGCAGGTTTGCAGACTGTACAAGTCTGTGAGGAATAGTTGATATACCGGATGGTTGATACCCCAACAGACCAGAGAAATGGGCTGAGATTCATGAAATTCAACAAAGGAAAACGCCAAGTCCTGCAACCTAGAGAGGAGTAGCCCTCTGAGCCAGTACAGGCAGAGGACTGACTGTCTGGAAAGCAGCTCTGCAGAAAAAGACCTGGGGACCTTGGTGGGCACCACGTTGAACAGGAACCTGCAATGTCCCATTACGGCAGAAGTTCAACAGCCTCTTTGCTTGCATTAGGACATGAGTTTGCCATCAAGTCGAGGGAGGTGATCCTTCCTCTCTTCTCAACACTGGTAAAACACATCTGGAGTGCTGGGGCCAGTGCTGCACTCCCACTATAAGCCAGAAATGGATGTGCTGGCATGAGTCTAGCAGAGGGTCACAAAGGAGATGAGAAGCTCAGAGCATTTGTCTTACAAAGAAAGGCTAAAAGAACTGTGAATGTGTACCCTGAAGAAAATAAAGATGCCCACTGGGTATGCGGAATCCACATCCTTGGAGATAATCAGAATTCGGCAGGACACAGGCCTGCGCAACCTCCTCTAGCTGACCCTGCTTTGTACAAGGGGTTGGATTAGATGAACTCCAGAGGTGCCTTCTAAGCTCAGCCATTCCATGATCCTGTGACATGGGTAGCAGCTTTCTGCATTTCATCAAATCATCACTTTGCTCTGCCACTCAACCAGGACACACAAACACAGTTTCAAACACATTCTTCCTTCATTCACAGGGAATTCATGAAACAGAGAAAATTCAAATACTCATATACTCACATGCTATTAAAGTTTACCTGTTTACAATCTTTTATCAGCTGTGTTTGAAGTGCTTTCAGCCTATTGTATTCTTCCTTTATCTTGTGTAGAAGTGCATCCATACGTTCTTGCACAGCTAAATTACACAGATAATCAGGGACTTAAAAATCAAACATTTTACTATAAATTTTAATACAGTGAATCGTTCAAAAGTTCTCCACTGAAGAATTATCTGATAAACATTACATATTATTGGAACAAGTGAGGCCCCTTGCAAATTTCGAATGCATTTTAATATTGTATTCATATATATGATTTTTTTGGTAGAGCTGCTAGTTTCTTCTACAAAAGGAGCAGGAAAAAAACCTAACTTTTTTCATAAATTTCCACTATAATAAAAACAGCACAAGAAAATATGCACAACAAAAGTGGTTCAGAATAGTGAAGAAATCTCTAAAGCAGCTATTTAGGCACATTAATTAGCACCTGAACAAGCAATGACATAACCGTCAGTTTGAAATACTTGAAATCAGGTGGTTTTGTTTGTTGGGTGGTGGGTTGTTTTTTTTTTTTTTTTTTTTTTTTAACCCAGCATGATAGTACAATACCATTACCCTGAGCTTGACCTCTGTGTACTGGTAATTCTACACTCAGTTTCTCTCTCACAGCAGCAGGTCTATGGAAAATATGCTGTTCCCTATCACCAACTTCTACAGCAGCGGAAGAATGTTCATTCTGATTGTCACACAAAACCTGCACAACAAATGAAACACAGAAAAAAAGAGGTGAAGAATTGTTTATTGATTCTCAAAGAATATAATATAATTCAGAAAGAAAACATGAAAAAATTATGGCCAAAAAGTAGTGTTCTGTATTATTCTCTACAGAAACGATGACATCGATGTTCTATTGAGTCATAAGAACTTAGACGAACTTTACAACTCCTGATAAAACAAACAGGTGTGGAAAGAGTTTTCAGCTAAAATAAATACAAGTATTTTGGCATGGCTAATATTAAAATCTTGCACAGAAAGACCTCCTTTATTGATGTTGAAAGTAAATTTACTTTGTAAATGTCTCATTCTTTAAAGTGAAATTTTACCTGGAAGTATTTCTTATAGGAGAAATTTGTATCTTTTTAGAACTACAATTCATCTTGTTCTTAAGTACTGAACAAATAGAATAAAAGGGGATGTCAGGAGAAATCTCAAGCAAATCAAACAGAATGACTCATGTTTGTTGGTGCTATGTGGCCAGCAGAACATCTGCCATAATTACAATGAGTAGGTAAAACACATTTATCCATATGGTATCTTAAGATAAATGATAACTGAAAAGAAATGACCTGCTCAGAGCACACAGTGGGACTCTTTATTATAAGTTGAATTTGGTGTTTATTGAGTCCAAAATCTTTAAAAAGTAAAATCATAATTTCTCCAGAAGTTCAGTGGAATTGTACAGATCAGCAGCATTCTTCCCAGCTGTGAAGCAACTAATGAAAAGACTCATTCAGCTGCTACTTTCTCTGAGCTGTCATAGAGTCCTGCTTAATCTCTCCTGTGTAGGCTCTCAACTATAAAAGTTCTGCTACCCACAATCCTTAACGAAAGAAACTTGAAAAAAGTCCAGCAAAGAAGGGGAAAAAACCCTAGCACCAAACCCAACCATTTGAAGTATTTAAGAGTAGAAAACCATGGCTTATAATAAATGGATGAAAGTAGCTTAATTTGTCCAGGTAAGTTTAATAAGTAACATGATTGCTGGACAAAAAGTACCCGTACGGGCCATTGATTACTAGCACTCTACAAAAAATGGTATAGCAAAATATTATTACTGGTGGCTGATACTAGAATACATACTAAAAATAAGCTTCAATTTTTGACTATGATATTTAATTACTGAAAACCATATAGACAGCAATTTTGTTAGATTCTCAGACACAATTTTGTTAGATTCTCAGACATTTAAGTCTTTTAAAGATGCTTGCTTCTCAAGGCACCAAGATGTACTGCAGCTAAGAAAGAAATTACTAATTCATTGCAGATATGAGAGTACGTGTGACATCAGAGTTCTGTTAAATCAAAAACATACAGCCAGAGACATACAGAAAGGAAAAACCATTTCTGAACTAGTAAATATAAGACTAACATCGTATAGAAGATTAAGACTAGGGACAAGACAGAAGAATTGTCTGGACAAGGACATGAAACAGTTTCAGAAAAAAAATACAAAAGCCCTCACAATGTTATTTTGGAAGATCAGGTTTAGCAGTGTCTATTTTGAGATCAATGCAAAGAGAAAAGCTGCAACGAAAACTTGTTAAAAATGATGCAGAGAAATATGGTGACTCACTGTACACAGTTCTTCATTCTCAAAATTTACATTTTAAAAAAGGCTTTTTGCTGTCTTACCTGAGCAAGCTTAGAACATTCTTCAGTTACAGCTTCATTCAGCTTTTCTATAAGTCTTTGTGTAGATCTGACTTCATCATCTATGAATGCAAATTATTCACATTATTTTTAAACACCAGATGCATAACAACTTTTCAAAGGCCTAAATTTCCTGCCCTGTTGAGATTGCTTCTTCAGCTCCTAGAAAGGCATAGTTTTTTGTTGTCCTCTTTCTTGTTCCATCACACAGACAGATTCAATTATTATGATAGAACTGCATGTTTAAGAGGAGTAAGCGGTAAGAAATGGTTTTGTGTGTTAGTGACCTCCTGAAAGCTCAAACTTCACAGAAACATACTGGAGGGCAAAGAACTTATGCCAAAAAATTGCACGAGGGCAAATCATGGCTGACAGAAAAAGTAGGGATAGAAAAACATCGTGATAACTTAAAAGCTCACTGATGCAAAAAGCAGTAACAAAGAAGTAGCAGCAAAGCAGCTTACTTAATGCAGGCAGGGTGTCAATGCAGGAATTAAAAAAACCAGAATGAAACAAGCCCCAGAATATCTTGCTGATGAATTTTCTTATTATTTCAGTAATGAATACAACCTTATAGGTGTATCTATTATATAGTTCTTCACAATTAATTGACCTAATACAAATAGCAAAATGTGAGTTGTAATACTTCCTATGCCTTCTTTTTTTATGTTATTACTTTTTTTTTTTTTAAGTACCCTGAGTAACAGACTACTTGTAACAAACAAATTGGTACAACAAAACATTTCTATAAAACCAATCTATTGGACAGCTACATGCACAAAAACTTGTGCTTGTTTTGTTGTAAAAACACTGTTTTTCATATCAAAAGCTTCACTCCCATAATTCTGGTCAACTTACCTGCTTGTTGAATTTTCAAGGTCTGGAGCTCCAGCTGATGCATTTTTTTAAGATCATTCATCTCTTGTAGATGACTACGAACAAGCTCCTCTTTAAGACTGCAAAGTGCAGTCTCTTTTTCTGCTTTCAGGCACTCACGAACCTGGTCTACATGAGCTGAATAAACCAGGGACAGGCAAATGCGCTGGGCTTCCATCTGTAGCTGTAAATCAGTCTTTAAATAAAACCACATATTTAAAAAAAAAAAAAAATTGAGACACAAGAAAACAAAATAGTCCTGTCTTTGTAAATTTCTGAAGTTCATGATGTGCTAAATGGAATGCCTCTAGTACAGTATATATGGGGTAAATATAAATATACACAGTTTGACACTTCAACTTAAAATAAAAATCAAACTAAAATCAACAAAACTCAATATGCTTAAATTCCTATCTTGCAGCAATAAGAACAATTTCTACCCTGATGGAATGAGAGCAATACCACTACCAACACAGTAAGTTAAGGAAGTTCACTCCATATGCGGAAAAAGACTGTATTATTAGCAGACCTTAAAAAACATTGATTTCCAAGGCTTGTAGTTCTAGTCTGCACTTCTGGGTATGTTACTGCTAACATAACAGTTAGGTTATGTTATTGCTAATATGCCAGTGCTGAGCTATTTAAAGTGCAAGTTTGAAAAGGTTTTTAGACACCTCTGGACCACAATAATTTTTTTAGTTCTATGTCAGGAAATTGCAAAACTCCTATTACATCATCATTAAAAAAAAAAAATTACTACATTATACGCCTGTAGGTCTATTCCAAAAATCTCACAACTGTTTCCAATGTGGTTTTGCTTGTGATTTTATTTCTTAGGATGAATGAACTCCAACACAACATAAAATTAGGCAGTGATGATATTCACTGCTAAGTGGATTGTAGAACACAAAAAACCCAAATCAATCTAAAATAATAGTGGAAGACTAGTTAACATCTATTTCTACAAAAAACTGAGTTGTATATTTCTTGCAGCATGCTACTCAATTTCATTATTGTATATAAATTTCAAGCCAGATTTACAATTCCAGCACCTAATTAAATACTGGCAATTCAATAATTAGCTATTTTTTATTGGCAAATAACATTCCTTTGCATACTACCTGCAATTCATTTACAATACCAAAAAATACAATCAAAATTTCTCAGGCAAAACATAGGGATTGGTTAGAATGACAAGTTAATAAAAGATGACTGAAGAAGTCAAGAGTTTCACTATCTCTTTTGAATTGTTTGAATGAGTACTTAGAGAACTGAAAAGCTAATCACAGATTAAAAAACTATGTCCTGATTAAGTTTTCATCTCAAGTAAGTTAAATGCTGTATCGAAGTGTGAACTGCTCTAGATATCTTTGCCTTAAGTATTGCTGGTGATGCTGTTGATTTAACGTAAGGAAGAGTAACTCTTTCACTGAAAAGTAGCATCCTCATACCCACTGACTATAGTTATCATTCTGGTCATTCATGTAACCACTTTCAACCACTGGCCACACTGCCACACATACAAGACCACACACCTGTGTTTCAAAGCAGCTAACAGGAAAAGTATGATGCAAATTTCAAAGTGCAAGCTCCTACAAATTTCCATAGGTTTATTATTTTCTATACTGCTTTATATGACGTACCTGTTCTGATTTTAAGGCATCCACTTGCTGCTGAAGATTATTATTTTCACTCTGTGTAATGGCTATTACTGATGTTTCATCTGTCAGCCTGTCTGTCGTCCCATGCAAATCTACATGAGACTGCTGTTTCAGTTTCAGTGTTTGCTGAACTTCCTTCCCTTTTGTTAATTCATGACTGACATCTTTACCCAAACCTAGATTTCCACTTATATTTGTTCCTTCATCAACTTCATTCCTTGAACCAGGGGTTTTATTTCTCCTTTCAGATGCTGCAGCAGCAGTCTTGAGAGCTTTTCCTTTAGAGCATTTTGTTTTGGGGTCATTACTGCTACTGTTTCCTCTCTGAGCACGGCTAATTATGAGTTCTAGTTTTTTACATTTTGCTATATTCTGTTCTTTCTCATCATTTAAGGATTTAACTTTTTCATTTAAATGGTAAATTTCACTACACTTTGACTTCAACTGTTCAGAGAGATCAGAAAGTCTCAGGGATAATTCCAGTTTCTCACGCTGGGTAACCTCAAGCTTTTCCATAAGTTCTGTCGCATCTTTCTCTACAACTTCTCCAGCCTCAAATGTGTCTGCCCTGGACACCTTGATTTCTTTACTCCCTTCCAAACCAGAAGTTTTAATTTCATTTAAAACTGGTCTATTGCTTTCTAAGTGTTGAAGTTTTTCATTCAAATCTTTGAGTTTGCTTTTATACTCAGCTTCCTGCTTATTCTTGCTCTCTTCTAACTCCGTTTTTGCTTTCAGAAGACTTGCACATTCTTTCTGCAGCTCTTTATAATTAGCTTCAAGAGTTTTCTCAGTAAATGAAAACGCACTCTTCTGCCTTTCAGTATCCGCTTGGAGTTGACTGGTTTGGTTTTTAAGTTGCTCATTTTCAGTAATTAGATTTTCTACTCTTTTTTGCAAATCCAAAATTTCTGACTTATTGCTAACAATGTTGTTAAAAATGACATTTTCTTCAGAGCTTACAAACATGCTCTTTAATTTCTCTTCCAGGGTTCTGTTTTCCCCCTTAAGAAGGTTATTTTGTGTTTCAAGTTCTGAACATTTTTTTTGAAGGCTATCTTCTCTCTCCCTCATTTGTTCTTGCAACGATTCGGTTTTAAGCTGCAGCTCTTGAATTTCTTGTTCAAGGGTACCTTTTTCTTTTTCCTCTTGCCTAAGCACTTCAATTTCCTTCTGCAGCTCCTGGATTTTAAGCGTCATTTCTTCAGATTTAGAATTTACAATAGACTGCTGTACATCTTTCAGGTTTGAAATCTCCAATATCAACTGATTTTGCTTTATGATTAAGTTGTCCTTTTCACATTGCATGACTTCTATCTTTTTACTCATTTCATTCTGTACCTCATCCAACTGCTGTTTATGGTGCATATTCAAGTTAACTTTGATGCTTTCCATGTTCACCATATGCTCTTTTTCTAAGTCTTCTTTAAGCCTGGAAAGTTCCTCTTCATGACTAAACAGAAGCTTTGTTCTTAGTCTCTCTAATTCTGCTTCTTGAGATTCTGCCATCCTGTCCAAAACTGCATCCTTCTCCCTTTCCAGCATTTCAAGTTTTATTTTGTAATTTGTTACTTCTGCCTCATGCTTTAATTCCAATTCCTTCCTGAATTCAGAGGCAGAAGCCAACTGAGTTTTTAAATCTTCAATCACAAACTGGTATTTTTCAGCTTCACTTAATCTACTTTCCATATCTACTATAGTTTGTTTGGCTCTTTGAACCTGCTCTCTTGAAAAATTCAGTTCTTGGAAAAGATCTTCAATTTTAGTTTGCTGAAGAGACTTCTCTGCTGAAATTACTTCCATCTGCTGTGACAATTCTTGCCTTATTTTTTCCTTTTCATTATCAGCATCTTTCAATTTCACATTCAGTTCATTAATTTTAATATTCATTAAATGCATTTGATCTTTGTTAACATTCTCATGCAAACACAAACTTGAAGTTTTCTCCAATTCTACTTTTTGTTGCAAAAGACGCTGTTCTATTTCCATTGCATGTTGCTTAATTAATTCTTGCTTCATTTGTACAATCTGCTGGCCATGCATTTCATCTAATTCAGCCTGAAGCTGCGCCAGTCTCCTTTGTGTTTCTAATTCCATTCTTTGCACAATGTCAGCTTCAGCCTGGCTGTCTTTATAACATCGTTTCTGCAATTCTTCCACAGTTCCCATTAATTGTTTTATTTCATCAGAACATTGTCTTTCTTTCTGTTTGTAGGTGCTAAGTTCAACTCTCATATTACTTATCTCCTGGTTCTTTAGTGAAATCTGTTCTTTCAATTCTTCAAGTAATTTACTGACATCTGATAGTTTTTCCTTAAGCTGAAACGAATTTTTTTCTTCTTCTCCAAGTTTTGCTTCCAGCTCTTCAACTAATACTTCCTTTTCCTGCAGTTTACTCAAATCTTCTCCCTCATTTCTGCATTTTTCCTTTTAAAAAAAAAAGAGCAAAACTGTGTTCTTACACCATTATCTCAATATATAAGAACATTTATAGACTTAGCTATTTAAATGCAATGCCTTTCTTTAGAAGAATAGTGATGGTTTATAAAAACTAAAAGTAAGTTATTTGTTGACCTGATTTGGAGGTTTTCTATACCTTTGGAATAAGTGACAATCCCTGCCCTTCCCAGCCCCTCTAATAAAATAATAATGAAATCTACATTTTTTTCCAGTTGTCCTCTGATATGTCACAAAAAAAAGTTCAATCTAATAAAAACTTTGTCTTTTGTCACCTTTAATGACATTTAGTCTTTTGAGGTATTTTTAAGATGTTATCCATGAAGGATAATAAAAAATATGTACATGAAGAATCGATTCTTTCCTTATGACAGAAAAGACTGTTCAAGCAAGTTCTTTTAAATATTTTCCTAACAAAATAATCCCATTTAATGAAGGCATTCTAATACACAGTATAGTTTCATAATTTGTTGTAAATATTTCTGCAAGTTTTAAAACATGATACATAATACTGACATAAACATAAAAATTTCTGTTTTAAATTATACACATCTTATCTGTTAGTTAACAGAAGCAGTCTTAAAAAAATTTGTATTTTTGTATGCATTATATGCAGCACATTCGTAATTTGTGCTTTGGCCCTTAAATTTCAAAGACACTACAAAATCCTGAAAAGGAAAAAAAGATCTTTCTAGTAAGGAATATACCATTTCATATGTTGTGATTTTGTCTTGAAGACGTATAATCTGCACTTCAAATTCTTCATTCTTTTTTTGATAATTCTTCAGCAGACATTCTTGTTCTTCTAGCTGTTGCTGATGTGAAAGTATCTGTTGCTTGGCTTGCAATAAATCAGCTGCTGTGCAGCTATGGCTGGTGTTCCTTAGGGCTTCACTTGCCTGCAACTTGAATGTTAAAAAAATAAAACCTAAAATATACCAAGTTTTTCAGAAACAGCTTGGACTACAGAGAGAGTGATCTTTATTTTTTCTTCCACATCACAAGCCCAAAGGCTACTGCAAAATTTTCTGAAGTTCTTTTAGGAAGAACTGAAATATGCTTATTCTTTTGGGATGGCCAACCAATTAAAAAAAAAAAGAAAAATCAATATTAAATTGCTTTATGGTGAGCTAGCACAGGGCAGCAGTCTCAGAAACACTTCTAAGTAGTTGTAATAACTGTCCCCAAAATCAGGTTTTTAATAGAAAAACCTCAAGCTTCAGAATATAATCCACCTGAAGCTGAAAAAAGCTATATAAAGTACTTAAACAGCACAAAATACTACTATATTCAACTGAAATGCTGTAAACTGTAGTCACACAGGTTAACAGTGTCCATATCACCTCAATCACCAGTGCTTTTTAGAACAAATGCTTCCCTGAAACATAACTGTTACCTAAATTATCATCTAACAACATCACAAAAGGCAGGTTTTACCCAAAAATATAGGAAGGACTGAAGCATGAAATGGTGGCCCACGGAAGCTGGTAGCTGTCTATTTTGATTTCAAAGGGAACATTTTTTCCCCTAAGATAACTGCCATCATCCAGTATTTATCAGATGCTATCACCATATACTAGGGAAGAAAACAAATTAATCCTTATTATTTTATAGTGAATTAGTACAATAAAACAGGTACTATAATGATAACTATAGGGCCAGTAAAATGAATACTGATCTATATTAAGAGACCAATTCTTCAAAAATGCACAAAAGATTCTGTGTTTCTGCAGGAAGCAGACATTTTTGGACCCGCCAAAGTAACACCAATTTTCAAACCCAAATAAATACAGGTAGCACTCTAACTTACATGCTGAAACTGAATTTGCAGTTTTTGACTTTGTTCAGTAAGCTCTAAGAACTCCCTCATAGTTTCATCCTTTTCTTTCCGTGCCTGCTGTAGGTTTGTAGTGAGCTGAGTAATAATGTCATCTCTCTTTTTGATAGCAGCTTCAAATTCCTGCAGCTACGAAAGATAAAATTTGAACTATTAGCGCACTTTAAGCCACAGTCAAACACAACCCTACCTTATTCTAGTTAAATAGGAATACCTCATGCCTAACCTCTCCATTTAAAAGATGTCACACAGACCTACTGGATCATAAATGTTTTCACAAACCCTATTTGTAAATACTTCAGAAACAGATTTTATTTTTCCCCTCATGTAACAATGTAAGACCTCTTTATAAAATAGATTTATTGAAGAACAAAATCTGAAGCTTTAGGAACGTTAAATAGATAAATTGCTTTTAAAGTAAAAAGCATGGCCACATAAACAAATCGTTATAAAGAATGCCAGAGTATCTGTTTATAGTGTTTCAGTAATTTTGTACAACTACTCATGTCCACACACTTTTTCCACAATAATTGCAAGTTATATCATCTCTCATTGAAAGTGCAATAAATTGTACTAAAATCATTGTACTAAATAGGTACCATACAGTATCCTACATTGTGAACCCAGAGAAATTATTCATAATTGCATAAGAAAATCAGCTCATCTGCAAAACTGATACAGTGTACTGAATAAATGAATCTTCTGTAATTTGCAATGATGCAGAAATTATAAAAGTACAAAAAAAAATCCATTTGCAAGTGGTTTTTTTTTTTTTTTAGGATTACACCCAGGCATCCAGAAATTAACTGGGACTATTGTTATGTCTAATTATATAAATAGATACCTCACTTTAAAGTCACTTTCTCAGTTTGAAGTCATTCAAGGCTAGTCGATGCTTCATGTGTACATACTGCAAATTGTGTAAACCATTAGTGACCCTCTGTAAGTGTTTACAATGCTCCCAAAAAGAAGCTTCTCCAAGTTAAATGCTGAGTCTTGAAGTAAAATTATAATGCTTCCAGACAAAGATTATTGATGTAGAGGATGACATTATTCAGTGGGACATAAAAAACGGAAGTCCCTTAAACAAGTCAAACTATGCAAAGAATTCTTTCAAAGTTCTTTTCAGAGCACTGCATTGAACTTCTACTTTAAAAGCATGGATGTGTGTTATAATTGAGAAATTAGGAACAGATCAGACACTTTGTGTTGTACCTTCTGCATCAAATTCAGTTATTCAATTTCATTGATCATTTTCAATCCACTCACTGTTATATAATTTTCAACCTTTTTAATTCAATCTTTTTCTTTAACAAGCAGGCAGAACCAGATCACACAAATCTTCTGCACTCCCCTTTTACAATTATTTTGATTCTTCTGAAAAATAAGCTGTATGTATTTCTCAACTGAGATATTATGCACTGGACAACTATCATACAAAAATATGCTGCAACTATTAAAATATTATTGTACCACAGCCTGTTTTAGTGTTTGGTTTTTTTGGGTTTGGGTGGTTTTTTGTTTGGTTGGTTGGTTTGTTTTTTTTGTTTTAGTTTAGTTTAAAAAAAGTAATCATAGCCATTTTAAAAATGCAAACATTTTCACTTTCCCCTTTTTCAGGAAAAACTAACAGTAGTCACAATCATGAGAAACTAAAATTATGGTTATGTTCTTTATTATGCTGTAATATCACTGTTATGTTTAGCACAACAGATATAAGACAGTAAATTAGAAGTCAAGTTTGACTTAAAATGCAACACCTGAGATTCACCAACAGATAAAGGAATGATAAACCACCTCCTCCAGGGCAACCACTTAAAGATCACTCTAACATGGTGCAAAACACAATATTCATTTTCACAGATAAAATACAAATGAAAGAGAAAATTATAATTATGCAATAATAATGAAGGTGAAAATGACTGAATATTAGAGCAATTTTGGTATTCTATAGTACTTTGCAAAAATTAGCAAAACACAATGATGTGACCTCAATCCAAATTGAGAGAGATAAGACACAAAGCATGACAAGCACTGAATTCCGTGCATTGCACCACTTGCTTTAACTGGAAGAATAAGTATTTAACATTCTTTACTTTAGATCCTAACTTTAAATTCCACTGGTAATTCTCAAGGAAGAAATACTTCCCTGTAATCCCAAATTAGTAGATGTTTGTTACAACATTCTAACTGTGAAACCTGACATACAAACACCTTTTTGGTTCAAAGATCAATTCATAGGAAGTAAAACCTGAGGATTTTTTTTATTTTGGAGGAATAGGAAGGTATTTAAGAAATGCAGTCTTTGCACAACTAGAGAAGAATTAAGGCTTGTCTTGAAGAAAATCGTATTTCCCTTCCTAATTTGAAGAAAGTCACTGCAAAGAAGCCTGGGATTTTAGTCACAAAATACAGAGAAAAACGACACACAATGGAAATGCCAGTTGAAGAAACAGAGTACATGGTATGTGATTGAGAGAAATTATGTGTAATTCTATATCACACAGACTGCATTCTGATCAGTTGCCATTAAATATGAACTCTTTTGGGTGATGCTCTGCATTTTTGCATGTAACCAAGTAGCAAATAGAAAGCAACATAAGGTAATTATACCTGTTGCAATCCTTCTGTACCATAGGCTGCCCTCATTTCTTCTAGCTCTCTGTTTAGCTCTTCAATCTCTTGTTGTTTCCCAGCCAATTCATTCTCCATCACCTCTAGCTGCGTATGAGAGTGCTGCATTCCATGCTCAGAACAAATCTCTGCAACTCCAAATTCTTCTTCCTAAATCAATCCAAGTTCCTTAACATGCCATTTTTTATGCTTTATCACAGTAAGCAAACTCAAACATCAAATTCTGTATCAAATGCCACCTTAGTACATTAACATACAATACAACATTGAAGATCTTATTGCCATGGTAACCTCCTTTGTTAGTATAATTCACACCTCAAAAGCACTCACATAAAGCATTTCTGCAAGTTCTGCTTTATAATCTTAGCCAAAATAGAAGTAGTAAATTGTTTTGTGCTTCAAGTTTAATGATACACTGTATTAATATATAACAAACAATGCAGATGCAGAGCACAGCATGCAAAATTAAGTATTAGGCAGCAACATAGTTTCTTTTCCCAAACAAACTGTTTGAGGCTTTTAGTATCAACATTAGTATTCCAATTCAATTTGCAATACTGTACCCTGATTAAGCCTGCAGGTATTGATGTTCTTGTCACAAAACTGCAACCATTTACCTGTATGAAGACAATTTCTACATGCATTATTATTTGAAATAAGGCTTGATTTCTATTTTCCATTCATTTGAATCTTATGTGATGATTCCTGCATACCCATGGGAATTTTCATGCTACAAAAATGTATTTATTTTGAAACATAAAATAGCTTTCTATATAGTAAATTGGATCAAAGTAAGCACAGATAACAGGTAAAACACTGAAAATTGCAAAAATTAATACTACAGTCCAAAACCAAAAAACATACTACGAATTTAAACATGTAGAGAAAACAAAGGAATTCAGTTTTAAAGGTCAGTGCAAAGCTTGAGACTTTAAATTATTAAAATGCAGTACTGTTGCATTTTAAAATACTCATTTAATATTTCTGCATGCTACTTAACATAATTATGCTTTCTAAAAGATATTTATACACCCCAAGATTTACTATTTCTAAAAGTCACCAATCTCTCGATAGTGGATGAAAGGCTGAATCATAAACTCTCATCCTCAATTTGAAGGAATTTCTTACGATTGAAAGGAGCAGAAATTACACATTTGACACAAGGCATTTGAAAAAAAAAAAAATTCCTCGTTTACTCACCTAACACTGCACCCCCTTTCAGCTTCTATGAAAATTTTGGTTCTACAGACTGTGCAAACCAGTAATAATGAATCTCCAAAAAGCAAGCACAAGCCAAAGTAGCAGTTACAGATTTAAAAAAAAAATCCAAATGAAGAGAATATGCTGTGCACTTGTAACAGACAGACAGGCTTTTAAAAGAGCAGACCAGTGTTTTAAGGTGAGAAAGCAAGAACAGCTGTATTTCCCCTCAGAGATGTTTATTACATCAGAGTCTGAAACAAGAATGATGCTAACTAGAGTTGGAAAGGCATCATAGCATTTCAGACCCAAATACTATGTTTACAGCAAAAGAAGCAGCTATACTCAGACATCTGCCATGGTCTAGATCAGCTTTTATTTACAAAGGACTATCATGCCTGAGGAAATCAATAAGTTACCCAACATGGAAGTACACTGTTATAAATGGGATCAATATAGTCATCGGGTTTGGATAAAGATAATGAATATACCTGCATTAGAAAAGAATTTGCAGAGCTCACAAAGTGCCCTTTCGATTCCTGCCTTCCTCAGTTAAAAAAGAAGGTAGTAACCTCTCTGCAGTGTCTTATTATAGAAAGAATAAAGAAAATTGCAGCAAACAGCAGTCCAGGCAACTCACAGAGGCACTGCACCTCGTTTGTGTATTGCCAGATGTTCACCCTGCATTCAGACATACAAGCGTCTACACAGCGCCTGGCACCGATGTCTTTATTCAGGTTTTGGTGCATGTCCCAGACTAATAACACTAGTAATTTAATAGAAACTCTATTATGAAAGACTTCTTTTCTTTTTTTTAACTCCCATTTTATTTAGGCTTAATTGATAAAGATGTAGTGTATAACTCTTGTAATCTACTACAGTAGACATGCTTCTCTTCCTGTGAATCATTTCTGTGTGCAACAATCAAAAGGCTCTTAGATGGTCTATAACAAGAGCTGCTAGGAAAGACATAAAAGACTTGTCTCATTAGATGTTCTGGACTCCTTAGCAGCTGAAATTTCTACAAAAGACCTTTTACTTACAAAAGGGATTTTGCTGCACATATTGAAAACAACTGTGTGGAACTCTGGAAATCCCACCTCATTGCACGGCAGTATAGCTCTTAGACACTGCGGAAGTGAACCACAACAACACAGTAGTCCATGCTGTTTCTCATCTAACACCTTCCCCTTTCAAATGCCTTATGCTTTCTGGTAGTGCAAGCTGAAACTTGACAAGGCCACAGACTGCAGTGTAACCTATGGAAAAGCAGCCAGATCACTGCAGCAGGGTGCTGTGCTGATGCAGAGCATCAGCGAGGCTGGACATTGCAAGCAGCCTGGCAACTTCTGGCATGATAGAAATCCAGCGGAGTCAGAGCAGACAGACAGTTGGGGCTGAGTTACTACAGCCTCAAAATATCTCAATTTAAAATTAATTTTTCATTCATCTGCAATATATGAAGACTGTAGTCCAGATATCAACTTCAGTGTTAACAGATGTCTACACAAGGCCTACTGGACCTCTGTGTTTGTCTCATGGCCCCAGTGGTTTTACCTGTACAGAGATCTTCAGCAAGCCCTGGAACACTATTGGTGTAGGCTCTTATAATTTCTTCTTTTAAAGCTTTGCTGTTCACCTTTAATGCTGAAATGTCCTTATGCCCTAATACCTTACGATGCGCTTATTTACATACCCCAGAAAACAATTAAACATTTAAAGAAACAATCAAATTGCACAGCATTTTAAGATAATGGAAGCAAGGAGTAACAAGAGCTCTGGATATAACTGCATCAGCAAATAACCACAAAGCAAGAAAAAAAAAAATTACAACACATTAGCTATGCAGGAGCAACTGTTCTGGTGAAAAAAAAGACATGAAAATTTGAAGGTTATGGAAGTCCCTCAAAGGACGTTCTATCTGATTTTTCTTCCTTGCTTGTATTTTAAAAATAATTCACAGAAATAGTATTTACTAATATAAAGTAAAATGTAATTTGTAGTCTTTTGGCTAAAAATAAAGGTATAATTTATATTGCATCAGTAAATACAAATGCTTAAGACAAATCCAGAGAAACACATGAAAAAGCAACTTCCACCACTGAATTAAGGCAGAGATTCATGACAATTGCCACCAGAGGTCAGGATTAAATTTAGGAAATACTTATACCCCTTTTAATATTTCTTAGACTTTGGAAGACCTGAAATTGTACCTCAGAAATAGTAGTAGTAATATATGTGTTAACTACTTATAACATTAATGCCAGTACTAGAGATTTCCCTTTATGAACAGCAAATTCATGCTCACAAAATTAATACTTAGACCTCCAACGCTGCCTATCAATGGTCTTAGCCTCTCCGCAATATTCTGGTTATGTCACAACTGACTATATAAAACTTAGGTAATATTAGCTATTAGGGCAAATTGGGAAAATTAATTTCAGTTGTGGGGTTTTGTTTAATGCGCCATAAATGAAAACCATTTTCAGTTTGTGAAATAAATAAATCATATAACTAAGGTTAACAACTTCTGAAGGATAACAATTGATGATTTGCTAAAATATCATGGCTTAACATCTTTTTCTATATATTAATAGCACATAACAGATTATTTCTTTCTGCAGTGGTTAAGGTTGAAATACAGATATTCATTAACATTTAAAAAAAACCCCAACTCTCCATACACTTCATATTAACCACCTCTTCAGAAGAAGACTGCCAATTGGGAAGAGAGTCAATAAGAGAAAAAAATCCCTCAAACAACCAAACCTCAGGTGGAACATGTTTGACTTAAAAAAACAACTTAAAAAAAACACCAAAAATTGTAACTGTTGGAAAAAGCCTAACTTCCCTTAGTTCTGAGTTTACACCATAACTTTAAATAGCTAATCACCATTATCATTTAATTTAATATTGTGCAGGTAGGTCTCATTCTTGCTGAAACAGAGTAATTTGTTACAAAAGGCAAGCTAGTCATATGAAGGATTTATCAGTCTCCAGTTTGGCTACTATCTTCAATAGTGTAGGTATTTAGAAAGGTAGCAGAACAAAATTGAACAAATGACTGTATTTACAATAAAACTCTTTCAAGACAAGAATTCTTACATAAATACACACTGGTTCCTTCAACTTTGGTTAGGCATGTATATTGTACATCTGATAAGTCTCATAAACAGGGAAGTACATGTCACTGAATTTTATCCAATTCTTTAAGAGAAGGGGCTGAAGAATTAAAAACATCTGACTTATTTTACCAATCCCAACAAAATACATTATTTATGCCCTATTTAATTTTGAAGCGTGACAGCCTCAACTTCAACATGTTTCTGTCAAAAAACCCCAATGAAGAATACAGATGTTCTAAACAACGAGGGAAAAGATGGATCAACAATCTTATGTTTCTACAAATAGGTGGTTTCTTGGCATTCCAAAAAGGAGGTCATGTAACTGAAAAAAAGGTAAGCTCAAGATTTCATACAACTTCATAATTATGCTGACACTAAGTTAAATTTTGTCTGTAACACCTTTTTCAAACTGAAAAGGCTTCAGAATGTTTTATTTACAGAGTGGCCATGAATGTAAGTGGAGCTTTTAATAGTAAGTTTAACATTACAGCTGACACAAAATATACAGAAAAGTTCAATTCCTGCAATACACACAATTCCTAAATGTGTTGTTTTCTCATTGCAGATACCAACCAATTGTAATGAACTGGAATTAAAAAGAGCTTATTAAGACAACAACTCTCACTACCTGAGTTTGTTCTTCACCAGACCCAGTATCACGTTACTATTCACAGGTTTTGTGTTGCCTACTTATGCCTTAGAAAATAATTCTCGGGGAGGTAAAAATCTTTTTGCAGGGATGAGAATAAGAATTGCCTAGAAACGCATCTGTTGTTGGAATTTTGAGGAAATCTGCAATTATTTTAAAGGCACATTCAGCAGGCAGTCTGGCTATAATTTTAATGCCTGTAGTATATCAAAAATTGTTCCCTAATATACTAATATATGTTTCAATGAAAATTCATTTTAAAATGAGAGCTTTGAATTTAACTGATACTAACAACAAAACACTAAAAATCAGAACATATTCACAATTATCATAAGGCGTTATGCCAGATCTTTTCTGTATTCTCTCTCCTTGTGCAAAGATGTGTTTTCTACAGCTTTTGCAATCAGTCTCCCACACTGCTTCCTACAACCTCAAAAGTGATCAAAAATTTCTTGGTCATGTTTATTTACATATGTAATACCTCTCATCTGTAAAAATACATCAACACCTATGCCATTGTCAACTGGTTTCAAGGATTCATTCCTCACATACTGCATATTCCATTCAATAGCAATTCATATACCATGGTGATGCATATTCTAAAAAGGTGCAGCAAGGTCACAGCAGTTGTTCAAAAGTGTATTTGCTACACTCTCAATGGCAAACTGTGTGCACATACTGCCCCTCTCATGTTACCATACATAAAGCAAACATACTTTTTGTTCTTTGCTGCTTTAACTCCTTGGACAAAATAAACCACATTTTATCGATGAAATATCGGTAATTTTCTATTCACACAGAGTTGGTGAATAGAAAAGACTGGGAGAAGGAGCAAGTGAAGATAGAATATTTAAGTTGGGAAAGAAAATTCCTTCCAGTTTTCAGGGTATGTGTAGACTGCCTACTGCGGTAACAATTTTGCTTTCGCACCACGCAGTGCGAGAGGTCAGGGACACATTGTCTGGTGCATATACTCCCTTAGGCTTCAAAATAAGCAGCTATAACACTAGTATGGAACTAACAGTTACTCTGAGGTGTAGTCACCTTCCCTTACAAAAGCCTAACTTCAGAGAGGAACAAAGTATTCTATACCAAATTTATTTCAGCAACAGAGACTTATTTGATCACTTCTCTTATTGCCAAGCTTAAGATTCTGGGGTGTGTTTTGCAGAAGCACTTAGCACAGAGATCTGAAAATTAAAACGCAGATAGTCACTACAGAAAGTGAATGTTTGAGACACAAAAAAATAGATTTTTAAACTAGAAACAATATTTATTGTTTCTATGGCTATTTCTTGAAAGCTTGTTCTTGACCCACATTTCTGCATGAGTTAGTTTACTCCTTATAAACATAACAAACCATTTTAGTTGGCGAGACCAAAATTCCATATATGCTACTACCCTTGGCCATGACAGAGAGGAGCAGTAGACACCAGTGTGTGGTGGGTTGACCCTGGCCAGTAGCTAAGACATGCCCACAGTCACTCATTCACTTCCCCATCAGTAGGATGGAGGAGAGAATTGGGAAGGCAAAAGTGAGAAAAACCCATGAGCTGAGATAAAGACAGCTTAATAAGTGAAAGAAAACAAAACCCCCCAGACAACATGCACTGCAAAGGGACTCACCACCTCCCACCACCAGACTGACACCCAGCCAGTTGCTGAGTAATGGCTGCTTTGGAACTCATTATAATGTAATCAACTTGTTAAATAGTTTTACACAGAAAATCAGTAGAAATTATGCACAGACACAACTCCAGTGGCAACAAAAAGCACCAGTACAACTGTAATGACGACACTGTTCCAACAGTTAATATATCTACTGCATTATTGATTACAGTAGCTGTGCCATTACGTAGTTGACATAATGCTTGCTTTAATGGTACATTAATCATACCAGTAATGACATGCAACACCTCTGTCTATAGCACCACGTCTGCGCTTTCTTTCCTTCTCTTTCCAAGAAACAAGGCGCAGCATTGCAGTAAACATGTAAAAGAAAATGTTGGAAGAAAAGTTAGGGAAAGTGTTACTTCAGTCTTACCTCAGAACTGTAATCTTCTACTGTGGTGGAAATTTCACTTTCCGGCTAAAATAAAATATCAAAATATTTACAATGATGACACTCTAAAAATATTAAGACATTTTCCATCTGTTTCAAATGTATTAAAAAATATGAAGGTATACATGAATTTGATTAGTATATAGCAAAGGCCACCTTCATTTCCTTGAAATCCCAGCTTTAAAACAGTTACTTTGCTGTTCAATTATCATCATGGAAACATTATAATTACATGACAAAGTCTTCTAATGAAAATACAACCTGCAGGTACAAAATAATACTTTGGAAATGTAATTTTTTTTTTTCTTTAAAAAGAAATAAGGAGTTCCAAGAAAAGGATTTTTCTCTGATGGATCAATTTTACCTAATTAGGAACTTCATTGGCTTAAGAACATCATCTTATATAGAATGTTATTTTCATACATGCAAGACACTCGTATTCTCCTTCAGCTTCCATGGAAACCAAAGAAAGGTAAAGTGATCAGGAAGAACAATGAAAAAGACTCAGATCTTCTGATCTACTGAATTAGAGCAATTAAAGGAACAAAGCCTTAACAAACTGAGCACAAACATGCCGTGGAAGATGCCTGAACTAAATACAGAGTATCTTGATGAATTACATACAATCTACCAGGTTTGATAATCAAGATATTTGTAGGAAAATACACAAAATATTCAAGTCTATATATAAGGTGAACTACTCGGGAATAAGTAAGTATCCTTCTGAACCTGAAAAGTATTATTTTGATTTATAACAACTTTAGCAAAAATGAAGTGTACTTAATAGGTCTTTTTCAAAATTCACTTACCTCATTACCCAACCTCACATTAAATCATTCCCCATTTTACACTGAATTCTGTCAGGCTTGTTTTCATAGGAACATAGTCAGTTTTGCATCAGTAGACATAAGTAAAATTTGGAACTGTCAACTGTGTTTTATTCTGGGTTGGGTTTTTTTGGTGTTTGGGGTTTTTTTTAATAAATCTGCCACTCAGACCTACTGGAGTTCTGCAGTTTTTGCAATCCCAACATCAACAATTGTATGTATTTTAAATCCAGTGTGTAGCTCCACAATGTATTTAACCTAAAAAAAGGGTGTTATTTTATGTACAAAGTGGAGAAAACTAACCTAAAAAATGAATGTGGAAGCTAAAATTCATGCAGTGTGTACGAATTTAAAAATTAAAGAGCTCCACCCTAAAAATAAGCCACAAACTGAAACAGAACTCAAAATTATGTTTTAATCTATAGGGTGATAAAAGTGTTTCTGCTGTGGAATACACAATTACTTAACAACATTTAATTTTTTGAAATATATTTTAAATCATATTAGATATACTTATATGCATATTTGATTATATTTGCATATAAACCCACAAATTTTACATATTGTTTATAGTCTATGTCCTTGGTCTAGGACAAAGTTCTCCGGAAGAAATAAAATCAGGGAAAACCACGTTGTTATTTATTTTCATAATATAGATAAATATATCATCATATCATCCTACAAATTTCATGGTTTGTCCCAATTCAGAAGATTTAATAACGAAAGGTTAGAAGTATTCCTATAGAAGCTCAGAACTATTCCCATAAATTTATGTATTTAATTAGATCTAATTACTTGAAGTTCTTTATAATGAGCATGAAATACAGGTACTTCTCAAACATGCAAAAATCAAGGACAAGTAGTATGACAACTTCTATAGTTTTTCCTTGTAATGCTTTTGAATTATTTAAATAGCCCCTTGTTTATTATAGAGATGATAAATGAATTTTTAGATCCTGAGATAAGCTCAAACCTAGTAAATCATCATAGTAAAAGGCAAAGAACTTATAGATTGAAGCTTAGGTTAGAATAAGAAAATAAGAATTCTCAAAAGGAAGGTGATTACTGAGAGTAATTCTCTAACTTCATGGTAATTTGGCCAGATAAGAGATTTTTTTTTTTTTATAAATTAGTATAATGCTGGTGTTTTCTGAATAAAAATCTAAACTAAAAGAAACTAAAACAATTTTTCAAAAAATTATCAGAGACCATATAGCGCTCCATTGGTTTAGATGTGTAGTATCTGATACAGGTAGGATAACCACTTAGTACCAGCTGGTAAAGTCTACATGTAAAAATAAGCTTTGTAGATGGGCCTATGTTGTTGTCTAGTTGCCAAAGTGCAATTTATACAACAGATAAAGAACCCGACTGTCAGCATAAGTCAGACTCTACTGTTCTTGCTTTTAATGTGTTTGAAATTTGCCTTAGAGTATAAACCATACAGAGCAGTTAGAAACTTCAAATGCCATGCTTGCTTTACAGTATAAGAAGCCAGTTCTGCCTTCGTGCTCAAAGCATGGTGGATTGCATTGACGGTTGGACTAAATGACCTTATAGGTGTTGTCCAACCTCAGTGATTCTGTGACCTGTTAGCAACATCTTTCTAAAGTATCTCCTTCAATCCTGCATCGAGATGGTTTTTTGGCTCTTAAGACCAAGTATTTTTGCCAATGGATTTATGGAAGGTAAGTACAGAAAGATAGCCATATGAACTCAAGTTAAATGGATCCGTCTTCTGTGCTGAGAGCATTATCCTAACCTTGTAAAAATCAGTTTAAAAGACTCAAGTCCAGTAAGCTCATACAACCAACTACAACACTAAGACTTAATGCTGCTCTTTTGCTGCCAAAATCAATCCCGTTATAAGTAGCCAGCATTTTACAGGCACTCATCTCATCCTCCAAGCAGCTATGTGCTGTCCCTAAGACCTGACCAACATTATTTCAAAATCCAGTTCCTTCCATTATTAAGCCATCCATTCTGTATGCTTCAATTCTTCTGTGGTCAACAGAAGTAGTTAGGTTTTACACAGCTCATCTGTCTGAACCACAGGGGTCCAGTTTAAAAAGAAGTATTTAAAAAAATGGATATATACACACACTGTTAGCAACTCAACCTCTTTTGACAAGATAACACCAACAAAGCTATTCACCAGTTCTCTCCATACTTCATGGAATTTTAAATAGGTTTCTGTTACACTCTGATTTTACGTTGTTATTTTGTACGTATTCTGCCACCTATGCCCCATAGCATTTTCTTGCTACAAACAGCTATTTTAATTCTTTATTAAAACAGCGGTTTTAATTCTTTGTTAAGTATTTCCTTAACAGACAATGTGGTTGATAGTTTCCTATAAGGAGTCTTTGAGTTGTCTTTTCAGTATTTTAACTATCTCCATCAACTCTACAGGTCGTACCTTTAATGATAACACTCATTCAGAAAATGAAAACCACTTTCATCTGTATACATTCTTCAGAGGAAATAATGCAAGACAATACAGAAAAGGGAGTAATCAGACTGTGGAAAACAGGAGGTCCATTTCAGAGTAGCTTATTTATGTATGCAGTAAGCATTGCTCAGAAATCGCGTTCTTTGGCACTGGATGCCCAACATTATCACAGGATTCACATAAGAATTCATCTACGATATTGGCTGAGAACTGAAAAGCAGTTTTTACGTTTCTTTGGAAAACTTTAATAGATGACAATAAAACGTTTTGCAAGAATGGACATCCAGTACTAAACTACTCCAGTTGCAATGGATGAGAGTATTAAAGGTCAAGAACTCGTACTGAGTAACCACGGAACAGAAGTCTACTTAAAGTAAATTACTGACTTCTTCATGATCTCAGTGTAAACTGTTACAAAAATGTAACTACAAAATGCTGGATTTATTCTTGAACAATATTAGCCAGTGGTAGTGAAAACAAGTTTATTTTAGCTTGGCCAGTTTCACATGGGTTATGAGTGATCCACAGATGATCACAACCTGAGTAAGACTAATTAAGAGGACCACAACTAGGAAGGGAGGCAAAGAGAATGTAAACAGAAAATCCCAGTCCTGAAACCCTGTTCTTTAGGTCATCCTGAACTTTATGAGTCTTTAATATTTGTAAAGAATTCTGAATGAGTGCAATTCTTATATATTGCCTCGTCATGTCTGTCTTAGTTTCTAATCCAAAAACCATTCAATCCAAAGGAATATATTCCCTAGTAATTTATGACCCAAACAAACTGATTACAATCAGATTTAAATAAATTATAATTTAGTGGAGATAAACCACTGCCAAATCTGAATATGATCTGCAGCGAGGTACCCCACTTCTCAGTGTACAGATTTCCTGTATCAGAAAACATCATCAACAGAGAGGTAACCTAAGGATTTAATTAGGTTTATATTTGGTAATACAGCTTTATAATTGTTTAATCTAAAATTAAACACTCTGTAAAACTAGAAAGACCATTTTTCAACAGAGTTAATTTCTGTGTCAGTAAATCTATTATATATCAGTATTTACAGAGAGAAAGGAAGGCATCATACCAAAGGTTGTCTTACACAAAGAAAATTGGTGACATGTCCTGGTAATCTTTTGGCCAGACGGTGAATGGAAAGATGACTGGCTTCAGTCAGAACCATATGCTGCTGAGAATCCAGTATCTTCTCTCACAGCACTGACTTTACTATTGAACAGATAATTTCCAAACATTTGTTTATCTTCATTCTCCAATTTCAAAACATTTTTCAGGGGATGCTATATTATTGGAAGGGACAGGGCTAAATTTTATTACATTTTATTTATCCATTTTTCTTTTCAAATCCACCTTACTATATGTCTCAGAATATCTCTTCTCTAGTCAAACCCTTTGGTTGCTCTTTGCTTTCATGCTTCTATCATAGGAATGCCTTATCCATATTTCTCCATACTGCTCATATTTCCATATGTCTGTCTTCCTCAGTTCTTCTCAAGAATCCTACCCAGTGTGTCCTACTTACTCTCTCTCTTTCAGGCACTTACACTGGAGTAAGTTATAGCAAGGAATATGGAGCTATAAACTTTATCACTTACTTGAGTAAATAGTTAAGATATTCTAAAACTATTATCAAATGGGTTTATCCTGTGAAAAACAAAAGACGAGTTATTAATCCAACCTTAGTCAATTAGCAGGTATTCTTCGTCACAGAACTTTGAA